TACGACGACAACCGCTCAACCTTGATATACGACATGTGCGACTTCTTCAAAATGACAATTCTGAACACCGGGGAAGCAACACGAGTAGCCAAACCTCCAGCAAAAATAAGCAGATTATACCTCTCACTTTGTTCGAGTTCACTATCGTTGGATTGCTCGTGGAAAGTAATTCAAGATCCCTACGGTAGTGACCATTTGCCAATCAAAATTTCTATTACCAATGGTTCATCTTCTACTCGCTCGGTCGACATCGCGTACGATCTGTACGTACGATTGTGCGCTGCGAGCACAGACGAAACATGTTCCGGGTGTTTCCGTTCGCAAGCGACCTCCCACCCCGTGGTGGGATAAGGAATGCACCGACGCGAACAGCGAGAAGTCCGCCGCGTTTAAACGCTTCCGCAAACACGGTAAGGTCGAGGATTTCGAGCGGTACACCGACGTCGAGAAAACCTTTAAGGTCTTGACTAAAGCCAAAAAACGCGGTTACTGGCGTCGGTTCGTCGATGGTTTGTCGCGAGAGACTTCCATGAGAACACTCTGGAATGTCGGTAGGAGAATGCGAAACGCGTCATCACCGATAAATGAAGACAAGGAGTACTCGGACAGATGGATTTTCAGCTTCGCGCGGAAAGTTTGCCCGGATTTGGTGTCGGTTCAAACCAACGTTCGTGATCGTCCGTCGGGTAATAACGAAATAGATTCCCCGTTTTCGATGGTGGAATTCTCACTTGCTCTCCTTTCATGTAACAACTCAGCTCCAGGAATAGATAGACTCAAGTTCAACTTGCTTAAAAATCTCCCAGACGTCGCGAAGAGACGCTTGTTGAACTTATTCAATCAATTTCTGGAGCGCAACATTGTTCCGGATGGCTGGAGGCAAGTAAGAGTTATCGCCATTCGAAAACCCGGTAAACCCGCGTCGGATTATAACTCGTACCGTCCCATCGCGATGCTGTCCTGTATACGGAAATTGTTGGAGAAAATGATTCTTTTTCGTCTAGACAAATGGGTCGAGTTAAATGGTTTACTTTCAGATACGCAATTTGGATTTCGGAGAGGCAAGGGAACGAGCGACTGTCTTGCGTTGCTTTCAACTGAAATTCAACTGGCCTATGCGCAAAAACAGCAAATGGGTTCAGTTTTCTTGGACATTAAGGGGGCTTTTGATTCTGTTTGTATCGATGTCCTTTCGGATAAACTCCACGATAGTGGGCTTTCACCAATTATGAACAACTATTTGAGCAACTTGTTGTCTGAGAAATATATGAGCTTCTCTCATGGAAACTCGACAACTTCACGAATTAGTTAAATGGGTCTCCCCCAGGGTTCATGTTTAAGCCCCCTTCTTTATAATTTTTATGTAAAAGACATTGATGGTTGTCTTGATGAAAATTGCTCGCTAAGGCAGCTTGCAGATGACGGGGTTGTGTCCGTTATAGGGCCAAGTGCACCGGACCTGCAAGGACCATTGCAAGATACCTTAGACAATTTGTCTACTTGGGCTATGAATTCTCTCCGGAGAAAACTGAGTTGGTTGTTTTTTCTAGGAAGCATCATCCTGCACAGTTACAGCTTCAACTAAAGGGTAGAACAATCACTCAAAGTATATCTTTCAAGTATTTAGGTGTCTGGTTCGATTCCAAAAGCACGTGGGGAAAACATATTGCGTATGTGAAACAAAAATGCCAACAAAGAATCAATTTTTTTCGTACAATTACTGGAACTTGGTGGGGAGCACACCCGGAAGATCTGATCAGGTTGTATCGAACAACCATCTTGTCGGTTCTAGAGTACGGTAGCTTCTGCTTTCAATACGCGGCGAAAACACATAACTTGAAGCTGCAACGAGTTCAATACCGTTGCCTCCGAATCGCGCATGGCTGTATGCACTCGACACATACGATGAGCCTCGAAGTACTCGCGGGTGTTCTCCCACTGACAGATCGTTTCGCGGAACTGTCCTTTCGGTTTCTTATCCGTTGTGAAGTAATGAACCCATTGGTAATAGAAAACTTTGAGAAGCTGCTCGACAGAATTCTTCAAACAAGATTCATGAGTCTCTATTACGAGTACATGACGCTGGAGATTGACCCTTCTTCATTCAATTCCTCTCGTGTTTGCCTCCAAGACTTTTATAGTTCCTCTGTAAATTTTGATCTGACCATGTTGCAAGAAATCCGTGGAATACCAGATCACCATCGGTCGATGGTTGTTCCCTTAATTTTTGCAAACAAGTACCACCATGTTAGTAACAATAAGAATTTTTTCACAGATGGGTCAACTATAAACGCTTCCACTGGATTTGAAGTATTCAACGAATTTCATAGCGCCTCATATCAACTGCAAAAACCCTGTTCCGTATACGTTGCGGAACTAGCAGCCATATTTTACGCTGTAGAGCAAATTGCCTCACTACCATCTGATCACTATTTTATTTTTACTGATAGCCTTAGCTCGTTGGAGGCTATTCGATCAATGAGGCCGATGGTATTTCCTGACCGAAATCCGAGCTAAATTGAGTACTTTATCTAACTGCTCCTATACTATCACCTTAGTTTGGGTCCCATTTCATTGCTCAATTCCGGGTAATGAGAAAGCGGACTCGCTAGCTAAGGTGGGCGCTATGGAAGGCGATATTTTTAATCGACAAATCGCCTTTGCGGAATTTTTTCAATTACTAGTCAGCACGTCCTCACCAACTGGCAACAAAAATGGAATGAGAATGATCTGGGAAGATGGCTACATTCTATTCTCCCACAGGTATCGAACAAGCCATGGTTTATTTTTTATTTATCGGGCTCGCAGGCAGCAATTTATGCGCTTGTGGTAGTGGCTATCACGATATCGACCACGTGCTTTGGTCATGCACCCTACATTGTGTTGCTAGATCCGAGTTATCCGCATCCCTCAGGGCCCGAGGAAAACAACCTATGCGGCCCGTTAGAGACATCTTGGCGAGCCGAGATCTCGAAAATTTTAATTTAATTTATGTGTTTTTAAAACGGATCGATCTGAGGATTTAGTAGTTAGTGTCAACTTGTGTTCTCTCAAGTTGCTAGGTCTCCATCGGTGTACTCCCATGTTTGTCTTTTTCTCCAGTATGTCGCTTAGTTCTAGATCAAGAGCACATTGCTCTAAAAAACCTTGTGTTCTCAATGCCTACCCTGCCACCCGTTTGTTACAATTTGTTACCCCTAACCTCGAGATAGCCGCGAGTAATCGGCCCCCGCTTTACTAACGTTAGTTTTAAGTAATTTTGTAACCCAAACGATGAATAACGACTCCGCAAAGCTACGGCAAATGAGCCTAGAAAAATAAACGCATTTAAAAAAAAATCAAATTTGCTCTCATCCGTCCACAGAACTCGTTTCCAGAAGTCCACAGTCATTCCGGCGTACTTTTTAGCAAATTCCAGTCGCTTCCGTTGGTTCCGCTTGTTGATAAAAAAAAAACAGCTTTTCAAACCGCTCTCATTAAGTCGCCGGCGAACAGTACATCGACTTACATTGAAATCCATCGATTCCACAATATGCCTCGACAAATACTTCGGATTCTGCTTAGCCATTCGAACAATTCTGAATTCACGATTACTTGTCGCACGATGACGTCCTTGTCCGGATAAATTCCTCACAATTCCTCGTGTTTCGTACTTTTTCCATATGTGCTGAACAGCTCCAACTGAAATCGAGTACTTTTCGGCAATTTTCCGAAAAGAAATTCCTTTTTCACGATCGCGAATCACCAAATTTCTAACATCGAGCTAAATCTGCTTTCCCGACATTTTTCACTTTTCAAATGACGCAAACAAAACACAATGGTGCGATGCGCAGGCTTCCCGGAACAAGAACTGTCAAATATTACGCCGTGATGCCAAATCTTCAGATTTTGTTTTTATTCGATTGCTAAAAAATAAAATCTTAGGAGTGTATGATTTATTTTGTCCAAGCAGAAAAGTGAGCATATATTTATTTAAATTTGTAACAAAAATAGCAGAATATTATAACAATTTACATACATTGAATGCTTTTTTGGGTTGAGCGTATGATTTATTTTGTCCAGTACTGTAATATTATGAACTTGTATGTAACTATTGATTAAATGCCACTTCTTGTTTGATTGTTTGAATTAAAATGAAATATTTAGTTGCGATTATAACTCATAGCAGCTGTTGATAGCGAATAATTGACTTCATGGAACATGGTAAAAATATAGTTGAATGTATTGTAAATGAAAATATGTATTTTATTACTGATTTTCACGAGAAACCTCTTGGAAATTAGCTAATTAAAAAAATCCGTTGTGATGCTCGACTTTTCGATAGATTTTACTTTGTTAAAATACCACAAAAATACGAATTTCTCAGGGGAAGCCCAATCCAAAGATATGGAAAAATGGGACACCCTAATATTTATGCATTGTGCGTGAGCGCTTAGAATATTTTTGGGTATGAGCTTTGGCTAATATTGCTGCAGTAGATTTTTCTTACTTTCAAACATGAGCAGTTCTTCCGAAGCCTTTAATTACCATGGAAGGACGCGAAGAAGGACGTGGCTATTGTGGAAGGACGAGCAGCAATTACGTGTTTTTATTTCTAAACATTGGATATTTTCTTATAATCTCTGCTTGACCACTTAGTCAACTGTGAAAATGTCACAGACGATAATTCAAGGGCCACATGTGAAAGGGCATACAAGCTTTTTGTAAACAAACCTTTGTAGGGCTTTTTTTCGTCAACCGAGGGTCACCTACGCAAACCAACAATATCATCGGGATGGAGAAGATTGCTCCTACTTGGTGATGTTGGTGGCTTGCGTTGGTGTCATATGGGTCGCGAGAAAAGGGCGTAAGAAGGTTTGCATACAAAAGGCTTATATTCTCTTTTCACATGTTGTTCTTGAATTAAGAGTTTCTTATGACCTACGAGAGATATTAAAAAGCTCTGAGCTGAAGGAGGTCATCATCTTGTGATTGATAAAATTTTAATATATTTGAATTACTCATCTTTCAATTACCTGCAAGTCTGTATAAATTTTGATTTCAGTCCTATGAAAAACCCGTACCCTGGCAGCGTTGCCCACTTAATGCAGTTGATTTCTTTATAATTAAGTGATTCTTTTGGCAGACATAGCTTTAAACCGACACGTTCTGAAGATAAAGTAATATGATTAGTAAAACTGATTGAAAATACTGACAGAAAGTATTCGTACCGTTCGGAGTTGAAGTATCGGCATCACGACTTTCGGAGCTACTGAGATCATACCGAAAATCAACGCCAATTTTCCACCTGGTGTCCTTATCCAGAATGTATGCAAATTTCATTCGCTTCTTGCATCGCAATCCGATCACGATGTATTTTGCCGACGGCGAGAAGGACAGTGAAACAAAATTTGCCGTAAATCTGAACACGAACATGCATTCTCCGAAGTTTGCTCGACTTAAGCTGCGCACCTCTGGCGAAGAACAGTATAAGAATTTTTCAATAAGGTACAAACTTTACTATGTCACTTACCCATTTCATGAACCGCTTTGCTTTGAACGGATGCTATGTATTGTTCACATTGCGATATAGCAACGTTTGAATCATTGTTGATTGAGCAAATGGATAGGACATTTTTCCAATCTAAAACCATATAGATTATTATTATATATATCCAATCTTAAACCATATGGATTATTAATATCTAGTGCTACACCAAATATACGGCCGCCATAGTATTCGGCCGAATATCAGGCTTTGAGCTAACAAAATTTTACTCAATCGTTTTGTCGGCCACTCATTTGTAAGAAAATGAACGAATATCAGCAGAATTTCACATGTAAACGCCGAATACCAGGCCAAATAGCACTATTCGGTGCAGCTCTAATATTATCCATAGTGCAGCAAGCCTAACAAGTCGATGCTCACCTTCCTTGAAATCCGGCAGAGCAGATGTGTCACGAAAATCACCCAAGTCCCATGCTTGTAGAATGAATTGATTCTTTTGCGAAATGTGTCGTGTAGTAATACTACTATCTATGTAATATTCTGCTTTTAACCACTCTTCAAATGGTGGCTTGTGGCCGTAATCGAAAAACAATTTGAAAATTTTATACAACATATTTCTTATCAGCGAGAGATCGAAGATGTACCTGAAAGGGCATAAACAAGATTTAAATGAGAAAACTGTGCTAACACATACCTCGAAAATGCACACCTTATATAACCGCTATATCGTTGTTCCACAAAATTGGAACAGACTTGTTCGAAGTAGAGCATTGGGTCTCGACAAAATTTCTCGATATATTCTTGCTCGGCGTATCCATCAGATCCAGGAAGGAGCCTGAACACGATTCGTTCTACGGTTTCAAGAATGCTTTCTATCCGACGATTCAATATCGTAAGCGTATTATTAAGATAGGATTTCTAAAAGTATGTTGTTTTTTTTTTTGCATATTGACACTATCTAATACCAATACTGACCGTGCACTTGGAATCTGGTTTGACGGTGGCAAAGCAACGCAGTTCTTTCCTTTTGTCCATGATTATTTTTAATAGATAGTTCCAAAAGTGAAATTGTTTTTTCAATTCGGCGTTGAAGCTATTTCCAATGGTACAACCATGCTCCAAAGAGTCGAGCATGAAGTTTACCGTTCTCAGAAAGGAAGCCATCAGGTATTGCGGTTCGACAGATGGTAAATTTTTCCCTATTCCTGCAGACGCGAATAAACTAGTTTGCGAGATGCCAGTGATGAGCATAGAATTGCTGGTAATCCGGAGAAAACGACACTTGCAATCGTTGTACGTTCCGGTGTTCATTATGCAATCGTTTTTCCAGTCCCAAAATGTTACCTCGTTCCCACTGGTTAGGACCAGATAGCTATCCACAGGATGGAAACACAACGATCCGATGGGTTCATGCTCATCAAGCCAGGCTTCCTCTTTCTAAAATGATGCATAATTGCTGCTTTATAACAACGTATTTCAAAATAAAGACTTTATATCTACCCCATTTACGTAAATGAATACTTTCCCTCCTAGAGTTCCAAACGCAATGATGTTCGTATTTGATGGATGGAAGGCTAACGTCCACACAGATCTTTCATTAGTGTGATATTCTGCTACCTTCTTCATCGAACTAACTTCAAAGATATTCACGCTCTTATTCGTTTGAACGGTTGCAGCGTAGCACCTATTGAAAATAAGAGAAACATAATTTTAAAGCGTGATTCAAAAGTGCAAGGTTACTACTCACCCATTGTGACTCTGTTCAACATTGAATACTGATTCGGTTTCATTCGATAAATCATCCAGAGGCTACATAGAAGAATACCCAATTATTAAGATTATTTAAAACTAGGTCAAGCTTCGTCATCCTTTGAGATTACAGGTCCGGTTATGTGATAACAAGAATAACCAGAGGACAAAGGTACACCAACTGAATACCTACCTTACAGAGATCTTCGTTCTTCAAGCGTTCCAACAGAGAATATTCAACCAGTTCCAGTGCAATCCTTTTGAAAGCTTTCGGATATATGCGTTTGATGCCATGTTCCCGATCGAGCAACGCGTAAGCTATGTTTGTGCTTTTCCGATGCATTTCAATAATTTGTATGTGCAGCAACCTAAATCGCTTGACCAGACATTTGCGGAATAATGATTAAACCAAACTTTGTTTATATTTTGTGCTTGCTAACTAACAATACTGACGTTTATGTGTTTTCATTTTTCCCGCCTGAACCTAAGAGGAAGAGGAGACAATTCAGTGCCAACATTTCAAAGGGGCGTAATTGCTTTTGTAAACAATGACTTTAGCCGTCAATTTCTCGCGAATGAAATCTTACCTCTCCAAAATAACAATGCTAGCTGGTAGAGGAAACATTCCTCTACCTGCTGGTGTCATTATTTTTCATGAGTGATATTTTATTCGCGAAAAATCGACGGCTAAAGCCATTGTTTACAAATGCAACGCCCCTTTGAAATGTTGGCACTGAATTCTAGATAGATCTGGAATTAGGGCGTAACCAAGGTAACTACATATAGGTGTTATAATGTGTCAAATTCATGATTCAGCCATGTTGGATTTTTGTATGGGACAGCGACCAAGTTTGTTTACAATTTGCCTTAAAACCGCACTTTTCCCCCCCGCGACCTCCTCGCCTATATAGTGACAAAGCTGTATCACCATTTATATACCCACCATGGGCGTAACAGCTTTTGTAAACAATGACGATGTCTAGGAACTCAAGGCATGCCCACGCAAACCAACATAACTAATTCCAGCTCTATTTAGAATAATTCAAAATGAGACAAATTTTACTCATCGCTGAGTTCCTGCACTTTTGGGCGATTATGAGTAAACTAAACTCAAATTGGGTTCTTTAATGGTATTGAGGTAAATGCATATTCGTAATCTGCATTAAAAATGGAACCCGAACCCAAAATTTCAACAATTTTGGTACACTGGAACTATTGTAAATAAGAACGATTACATTTGCAAAAATCACTTTATTAGCACCCCTCGGTGTCACTTTGTATGGGAGCGAGCTGTCAGTTTGTCAGTTTAGTGTCAAACAGTGAAGTTATTATTTTGCTTTAAATATTGATTTAAAAATCGAGATGAAAGCGTGTGGGTTCGAAAAAAATATCGCTGTGCTCAGAAAACGAAGCTCTTTCAGATGATATATATAAACCGATATATTTTCCAAAATTAAAGTCAAATTGATTAAATTTCAAGCAAAATAGGAATAGTTCAATTTATCAGTGTTCGGTCCCAAGCTAATCGATTCACCCCTCGAAACATAGGAAAATCTACTAACCCCTCATTTTATCTGTCAAACTTTCATAGCGAATCAAAACAAACATACACGCAGAAAAATTTACCGTCGAAACAAAAATATTTGAGGCAAATTTAAACGTAAACTCAGTTTGTTCTGGCCACAAACATAAACTACACAGCAAAAAAAAATGTAATCTCGATCAACGGTATTCAAGCTGATGTATGAACACTTGCTTGTGTGGGTTTTCGGACCATCTACTTCGGTTTCGCCGCTTGCAGGCCGTTTTCGGTTAAGACAAGTTTGCCGAATGTAAACAAGAAGGAAAAAAGGACACGCTAAAAATTGAATACCCAGATTATGTATTGTTGAAATAAACATGCTTTTGAATTTAATTTAAACATACATATTTTTGTTGAAAACATGTTTTTAATTTACTTTGAACTATTCATATTTTTATTTAATAAACATATATATTTTTAACTTAAATGAACAAAATTTGGTTCCGCTCTACTCAAAACTGAAATGCATAAAAAAATGACAAAATGAAACACTCTTTGCACACCGTCAAAGAATCATTGTACACAAAATCAACTTTGTGCAAAACCAAAAATAAAATAGTGGATGATGGCACAAGCTTCTAAGAAAATTCTATTACAGCGAATCACATTATTTTAATTGATTTCTTCGCCAGCTAGTCGTCTGTCACTTCGTTTGTGATAATATCATAGAGGTAACTCTAAAGGCCGGTGCACAATAGATACGTTTTCAGGTTTTTTTTACAGTTAGCCCATGCAAATCTGTCAAAAAACCCGAAAACGTATACATTGTGCGCCGGTCTTAAGACTAGCTCTAAGACCAGAAGGTCCCGAAGAAACGAGCTCAACTTTTTGGCTCAGCTCTGGTACTATCTTCGGTCCCAAGCTAATCGATGCACCCCTCGAAACATAGGAAAATCCACGAACCCTTCATTTTATCTGTCAAACTTTCATAGAGTTCTCCAGATGCACAAAAGTGTGCGTGAGACCGCGCGCTACCTTTTTAAGTAGTTGTGATATCGCGATACCTTTTTGTTTCTTCTTCTTCTTTATTTTTATGTATGGATGTTGGATTTTAGTGTTCGTGAGATTGCGCTTGGAGATCTCTATAGCGAATCAAAACAAACATGGTGTAGTACTAGAATTTCGTCTATTATAATGGAGTACGTTAATCGATTTGCTTGGGACCAATAGGCTAATCAAGTAGTGAGCCAATTTAAAATCGTTAGTTTCCACCAAGGGTGGGAGGTGGCTGTCAAATAGGAGCAATCGTCACCTACCTCGCATAACTGGTTCCAAACGTAAACAAGCCATACAAAACCTACAGCGTTTGTTTACGTTTGGAACCAGTTTCATACAAGATGATCAGTAGGCTGATTTGACAGCACGTCCCCCCCCCCCCAGGTTTCCACTGGTTGATAATCACGCTAACTTGAAAGTACTCATTAATGAGTAAAAAAAGACCCATTTTGAAGAAAAGTGGCTTAACTCATTAATAATTGAACAATTTTACCCATTAATGATTAACAATTACTCATTAATGGGTAACAGATACTCATTAATGGGTAAAAAATTTACTCATATAATGAGTTAAGCCACTTTTCTTCAAAATGGGTCTTTTTCAACCATTAATGGGTACTTTCAAGATAGCGTGATTGCCATGAAGCTGGCGCCCAGGCGCCAAGGGTGTAGTATATGTTCGACCAAACTGTCCAATTCCCTTTACAAAAGTGCGATGCACGTTGAATCAATAAACGTCAAAATTCAAAACATGCATGTCAAATCAAGCATGTGTTTCTGTTTGGTTGTCACATCACGAGTGTAGTGCGTTGTAGTTTTGATACGAATTTAGCTAGCTATTAATCCCATTTTTCCAGGGCATTAAGTGCGAAATCTCGAGAATATCTCGAGAAAATGGTTAGGCACAATAACCAGCTGCCGGACAACCTTCCGCAGCTGCAAAACCTAATCAAACGAGATGCCGAATCGTACCGAGAAGAATTTCTTCAACAGTACCAGCATTTCCTGAGTGTGCTGGAGATCTTCAGGTTAGAACCGGATAAGGAAAACAAGAGATTATGTGAATCGATTATGTTTCTGGCCCAGGTAATTGTTTTTTTTTTTTTACTTTTAATCGGTTTGACCATAAGCGTAAAGCTTGATAATTTTATAGGTGGCCCAATGTTACGTAGAGGAGCTAAAGACGTTTCCCCAAACCATAGTGGATCTGTTGAAAACGCATTCGACAACTTTGGATCCGGAAATGAGGAACACCTTCTGTCGCGCTTTGATTTTGCTTCGAAACAAAAATCTGATTTCTCCATTGGACTTGTTGGAGCTGTTCTTCCAGTTGTTACGTTGTCCCGACAAGGCACTCAGAAAGTTCCTGGAGAACCATATTATAACGGACATTAAAAATATGAACGCTAAGCAGAAGGATATGAAGCTGAATTCCACCTTGCAAAATTTCATGTACACCATGTTGAAAGACGCTAATCCAAAGGCGGCCAAAATGTCGATCGACATCATGATCGAATTGTACAAAAAACGGATTTGGAATGATGCTAAGACCGTGAATGTTATCGCGACGGTGGGCTGCTTTTCGAAGGTTACTAAAGTGATGGTGGCATCACTAAAATTCTTCCTCGGTACCGACGACCAGGATGAAAAATCCGATGAAGACAGTGACAAGGAAGCGGATCTTAAGGGTGTCATGATGGCAAATCGTGTCAATAAGAAAACGAAAAAACGCAAGAAGCAATTGGAAACCGCCAAGAAGCTCTACAATCAAGCACAGAAGAAGAAAACCAAAGCGGTTTCGTTCAATTTTTCTGCCGTGCATTTGATTCACAACCCACAAGGTATGGCAGAAAACCTGTTCAAGCAGCTGCAGAATGGTAACGAGCGGTTTGAAGTTAAGCTGATGAACTTGGATGTGATATCCCGATTGATAGGGATTCACGAACTGTTTCTGTTCAGTTTCTATCCTTACATTACACGGTAAGTTAAGGTTAAATTATGCTAAAGAAAGCCGTTAACGTTATTACCATTTCCACAGGTTCATACAGCCTCATCAGCGTCAGGTCACAAGAATTCTTCAGTTCGCGGCACAAGCTTCCCACGAGTTGGTACCACCGGAGCTGATCGAGCCAGTTATTAAAACCCTGGTAAACAACTTTGTGAGCGAACGAAACTCCAGCGATGTGATGGCCATCGGGTTAAACGCCTGTCGAGAGATTTGTGTTCGATGTCCGTTAGCAATGAACGAAGACTTGCTGCGTGATTTGACAATGTATAAAAATTACAAGGAAAAATCGGTTATGATGGCAGCCAAATCGTTAATCCTGCTATTCCGTGAGCAGATGCCGACTTTACTGGCCAAGAAGGATCGCGGTCGCCCAACGGAGGCAAGCGTGGAAATAAAGCCTAAGAAATACGGTGAAGTGCAGGCATTGGACCACATCCCGGGAACCGAAGCGTTGCTGAATGCTGCTCCTGATCTTGAGGTGAACTCAGAAGACGATGATAACGATGAATCTGATTCGGATGATAATTGGGTGGACGTCGACAGCGACGATGAAGTCGTAGAAGAGAAAAAGAAAGGAATAACGATGATCAAACAATCCAAATCAGAGGAAGCAGCATCGGACGATGAAGATGATGATGATGATGATGGTGAATGGGAAACTGACTCCGAGGGATGCAGCGAGGATATTGAAGAAGAAGAAGATCAGAATGAAAAGGTAAAACCTTCACCTAAAAGTGCTAACAAGAAGAAGAATAAGTCCAAGAAACAAGATGGCAGCTCTGCTTCAAACCAAACAGAGCAAGATGATCCGAACGCAACAACGCTAACATCTAAAGAAGCTGTGCAGGAATTAGCTCTGACCAAAATATTCACCGATGCCGACTTCGAGCGAATTGAAGAGGAACAAATAAAAAAGAAAATGACCCACAACACCCGAAAACGTCAGCTGGAGAAGGAGAAAAGCGAATTCGTCAAACTGGACGATATCGAGATGATCTACAAAAAGCGCAAAACAGATAAAGATACACGTATCGAGAGCATGAAGAAGGGTCGCGAAGGAAGGGAAAAATACGGTTTCAAAGACAACCGTCATGATCCGTTCTGTTCGAAAACGAATCGCGAAAAGCTGAAGAATAAGAACTACAACATGATTCGCCACAAGGCGCGCGGCAAGGTAAAGAAATCGTTCCGCGAGAAGCAGCTTGCACTTAGGAAGCATCTGACGCACTTGAAGAAAATGAAATGAAATGTTTAAACCCTAATGGATGATGACATTACTAATAATAATAAAAAATTAAGATGGTATTTCATTTGCTGAGTTGCGTTTTATGTTGTTCGATATCCTGTAAATCAAATGGGAATCACTTCACCGTGAAGTGATATCATCGGTAATAAGGGCCGGCAAAACTCACCATATCGACCTTAATTTTACTGCATCTTACTAGGGATTATCCAGCTGTTTTTGGAAATCATCCATGAATAATTCCCACAATTGACGATTCGACAGACGATTGGCGCACACTTCCGGTATTATTCCTCTCGTTCCAAAGTAAGGATTATCTCTATGCAGAAAATCAAAACATTGATTATTTGCTAATAAGTTTATTAGGATACATTATGAATGCGGCATATGTTTTGAGTAAGAAAAATAAACATGTTCAAACCAGGGCCAATAATTAAAACAATAGAACAAATTTTATGGTACAGTGTTATTTTTTGCGTTTTTTTAACAGTATTTTTTTTTTTATTTTATTTCTGCGTTTAAATTTAGGCGGGATAAGCTCGAACGAAACTTAATTCAAATTCATACCGGAAGCAAACAGGAGAGTTTTCTTGTTTTTCTTCTTTTTTGCTCCAGTGTTATTGGCAACGGTACCCTTCTGTTTCCTAGCTCCTCCTTCGGATAACGCAAGATCACAATTCAACGACACTTTCTCCAGAGCTGCCTCGATCGCAGAGGCCAAATTGTTCATTTGTTCTGGAGCGCGGGCTTCCTCCATATCGTAGTTCTCTACGTAGTCACTTTCCGACCCGAAACGATGCTTGTTCAAGGTCGGGGTAGTAGTCATCTTTGCACCGGTAACCTGAAACATCTTCGGTGGTGGCGCTGCCAAGGGCCCAAACACATTCACCGATCCTCCCGATGGCAGCGAAGGCCAGCGAGAAGCTGCAGCTGAAGTTGATAACATCTGGCAAAGAAAGGCGATGATGAGCAGGCATGGGAAAAATTATTTACATTCATTTCGTGCATTTATTTACATTGATTTGCGTCTAAAAATGTGTCACGAAATAATGTTAGGTTTTGAACGCTTGTAACTTTGTCATTTATAGATTAAATTTAAAGCCAAATACAACCAATAGGAAATAACTTTACACATCTGCTAACATAAATAGTTTTCCAATTTTCCACGAAAAACTTGAAAACTGTACAAATGATACTTTTATCTGTTATCATGAAATAAACGTTTTCCCCAAACCCAGTCGTCATCAGTCGTACCACTTTGTTACACATCGTTCTGCTTGAACCGAGCAAGTTATAAAACAGCGCTCATTTCCGTTTTGGACGGCGTGATACAAGTCAGCAAGTCAGCGGTTAAAAGGTGGAATTCCCGGACGGCAATGGGTTGGAAGGAGACTCACCTCTTCAACGAGATGTTTTTATATTTCTCCCACTCTCATATTTACCTCTCGTTTGTGGAGAGTCGACCGGATGATATCGAGCATGTATGGGATGAGCTTTAAGTTAAGAACTATGTCGTACTGAAGCTCATTTTCGCATCAGGACCACACATTTTTACATAAAGAGTTATATTCCTGGCGGTATTAAGTGACAATTGGCTTCTTCCTCTTTTATTTCTATCTCTATCTCTATTACAGGCACATGAAATCGGCCAATCAGGCCAGTTTGAGAGAAAAGTAGTTCATTTTCACCCCGTATTGTCACCACTTCTCTTAGCTTTTTCCCTCTTGGGTCGCGTTCATATGTTGCTATGACTTTTGAGACTCAATGTCATTATTTTTTCTTTGCTTTTTTTTTCTATTCGACCTACATCAGAAAAATACAGAAAAAGGTGGGTTTGAATGCTAATCTAAATGCGTTAGTAAGCGAAAAGTAAAACATTTGACTGAAGTCATCGTTTGACTGCCGAGTGCTGTAAAGAGATGTTGGTTGCGTTGTATACTGAAAACGAAACTAATTCAGAGAGTGAGTAACCTACGCCTTTAGAATTTTCTCCATACGAATGAGTAAAAGTAACTCACTCTCTGAGTAAGATTCGTTTTCAGTGTAGTTTGCCATCTCAACTAGAAACAAAAGTGATTCAGATGCATAATTGGATGATTAAGCTCAGTGTGCAATTCGCATAAAATTCTTGTGACAGCAGGGCCAGGAGGCAGGTTTCTATATTCAGTGAAATTATTCAGATGGACAAGACCTATCACATGATTGGCCTCTTAGTTCAGAATTCACTCACCATGCAGCGCTGGTGTTATTTGATTCAAAAAGCTTGCTTAAGCAATCTACATTCACTGAAAATGAATCTTATTCAAAGAGTGAGTCACTTTTACTCATTCGTATGGAGAAATGTCTAAAAGCGTAGCTTACTCATGCGCTAAGTGCCTACGATTTTAAAAACTTCTCCATATGAATCAGTACAAGTTACTCACTCTCTGAGTGAACTAATTTCGTTTTCAGTGTTTCAATTAGATAGGAGGTTGCAGTCTTTAGTAAAGTTATTCAGAACCTATTGTATACTGGACAGCTCAGATCAGCTCAGCATACCACAGTTCATACGGCAGTTATGTACCATTTGACTTCTGATTGCTTGATTTAACCTAATTTTTAAAAACATGAACACATTCATTTTGGAGTTAAATTTCTAAACCATTTATTTTGTTATCAATTAATAATTTATTTATATTATTTAATGAAGCAGCAAAAATGATATCGTAGTTCTACGTCAACAATGCGGTCGTGCTTTGGACAAAACCCTTAACTTTTTTCATCAAAAGAATTCCGTTAAATGATGTATAAAGCTTTTGTAGGTTTTCGTTTTGAATTACATGTTCACAAAAGTTGTAGTTAATCTTAAATTCTACTAGCTGCATCATTTTACGGAATTCTGTTAATGAAAACAGTTAGAGGCAAATGATTGTCTATGCCTGATTATCAGTGATGATTTATTTCACCGTTTGTGTACTATATTCAACTAACCTTTGACCATGATGATCCTGACGGATACGGGGATGCAGAAGCGTAACTTGTTGATGGACTTGTGGCAAGCGCTAACTCATGACTAAAATCGTACGATTCGGTGGTTCCACACTGTAAACAAATTTGGTATTAGGACACAGTTTTTCAAGATAAGCACATATGAAGCACAATTCGGATCAATAGTAATAGGATAAAGGTCTCTCTTCAAACCCTTGTCTCAGAATAAATGGGAAAGTTTGGTTGGTTTATCTTTATATTTAGACATGTTCAGCCGTATACTGGAAGCATTTTCAGAGATTTATCGTTTGCGCTATATGAAAACCCCTATTAATGTTGTAAATTAAAAGTCAATGAGAAACCTGCACCGGAACACTTTCAGCTAGCGTTTTAATTTTGCTGTGGTTTACAAAGCACACTGCATGTCATCTTCATCGTCTAGTGTGTGTAGTAAACACATTCGTTTTCATTTGCAACATTGCAGAAAATTCAGATTCGCTCAAAAAAACAGAGTTTTTGATCTAATTCCCTTCCTATTAAGCACAACCCACGCTTTCCTTCTCTTTATTGAACGGGTTTTAACAATAAATTAAATGTTTCTACCAAAGATGACTTCTAAATTTATTCCCTTTTTCCATAAGTACCGTTGAATTTGATAAATAGCCACACATTGTTGAGATATTGTTAAAAATCTAACACTGCTTTTTGATTCCAAATTCGTCCTACTAGTTTCAATCCGTCCTACGGATGAAGGTAGAAAAATGAGAAAAAGCGAGTTCACTAGGAGCGCTTCTTTTGTTTTGAGAACATAGAGTGTTAATATTCACACAATACGCTCTAATAGGCTTTGTGTTGTAGTTTGTGAACTATAACGCATCGGTACAAACGTATTTCTGATTCATGCACGGTGAAATCATTGATTATACTACGTTTTCTGCTCGATAGAACGGAAATGGACTTTTACGACGAAGTATCGCTCTACCCTACTAATGGCAGCAGCAGTCCAGAGGTTAATTCCACAATATTAACAAGGACCATGTCCAAGGGCTAACATGCAGGGAAGATTTTGATTTGTTGTCGTGAGATGCGCGCCTGGATAGAAAGAAGATTTTGAAGATTTCCTGCAAAAGGATGGAGCATGTTGAGAGAAGATGGATTTAGAAGTAAGAAATTACATGGACTTCTAGGTCAGTTCTGCTCGACTTCACTACTCCAAAACTGAAGGTCAACAGGGGAATGGCAAACCTGTTTACTGTCCGGACCATGTTCCCCGTCTTCAAGGACACAGTTCACCTGACTTAAAAACTAAACCAACCCACCCAGTCTTCATATAAAATAGTGAAACTCATCAAATAGCAAAGACTATTTCTACTAAAACAATGTCAGTTGTTTCTTTATTAAGGAGACAAAATAATGCCAGTCCAAAATTGGGTAGGCACATGAATTTTTCAGTTCGTCACTCACGAAAGGGGTACCGTGACATGTCCTATTACTGTGGGTTTAAGAACGCTTTAAGTTTAAATCTGTTAGAAAAAAAAATTTCCCTGTAAATAAATTTAAATAAGTCGTCATATGATTGGGTAGTGTATACATTATGCCATAAAATTTTGATTTACAATATTTTTACAACCTAAACAAAATGTAATGTTTAAACATATGATTGTGCCTCATACCGCGTGATACTTAGAATCATCTCTAAGGGGTATAATGGTACCTTTTACCCTTTAGAATTTTGCTGCTGCGATCAAACAACGGTATTAGGCACTAAAAAGTACGGCGGTGCTCTAAATTCTCGGTTTTGATTCTAACAATATTTTTTTACGTGTTTGTAACCAACTGTAAAATTTATTATGCATTAGTAAAGATTACTCGATACACTAACGTTTGCGATAATAATAAAAAAAAGAAATCAATATAAATCGCAACACATTTAAGTTTATTGTCAAACCCACGGTATTAGGCGCTGCGCGGAATCAGGATAGGTCACGGTACCTACGCATGCAATCCTACTTACCGAAGGGAAATGTTTGGTGGAATCAATGTTGATTTTGGCAGACCGTGCCAAAGATTTACCCAACTGGCGTTCATTAAATTCGAAAATTTGACGCTCGCGAATCCGCTCGGCATGAGCTCGCTTCTTACGACCTTTTCGACGGTGGCTCACTTCGTCTAGAACAAAAAAATGAATATTACGACTTACGTTACATTTCGGCTAAACATTATGCAATCAATACCTTTAAACTGGACCAACACTTCAGGAGCGATTATACCCTGCTGAAATTCTATCTCAACTACCTCGAATTGAGTACAAATAGGCAAATGCTGTAAATATTTTAAACGTTTTCGCAAATCCTCAGACATGGAGCTGCTGTCTTTGTGAACAATTTTGCCGGTGATCTTCTGGGGGCTTTTGTCCAAGCTTCCATACATGGCCTGTAGCATGCGCGTGTTCATCGAATGTAGAAACAGCGGCTGCCCGTCCGTGGATTGGTAGAAGTGATAGTAATCCGACGAAGCGCACGATAATGTTGGAACGATATCTATGTCGCTAAGGGTAAAGTTGTTATCCTCATCGATCATGAAGTCAGCTCGTGATGACTGATCCATAGCGACTGCTTCATCGATTTCGGTAAGTTCCGTTGGATTTTCTGTGTACGAATAATAAGCAATTGAATCATTTCGGTGGTATACCATTTTCCAGAAATCATTTCGCCGACATCTAATTTCCCGAAAAATCATTTGGCAGAATGAACCAAATACCGGAAAAACATTTCCCGGACTAATCCATTTCGCGGAGAAACATTTCCCGGAGCGGCTATTCTCTTCGATTAATATATTATCGTTTTCATCCCAAACTAAATGGAAATTAACGGATAAAAATTGAGGCTCTACTAAACAGGCTTAGTATGTTCCAGTAGCATACGATTTTCTTACTCGGATTGTCCGGATGTTGGTGCATTACGGTACTACACACTTTACATTTGATAAACAGCTAGCTACGTACTTAATCGTGTGCAAAATTCATCAAAATTTCTTTGAAGTTTTAGTATAGTATACAGTGAAGTAATCCGAATTAAATACGACATGGACATTAATATGACTGATTATTTACTGTTACCTATTATAGGTTGCGTATAATATTGGTATAATACTGCCGTTATACGCATAAGAGTGCACGGTGCATAAGGATTGCATAGAACAAGGGACAGCTATGCGTAGAACGGCAGTATACTGCCGGTGGAAGCATAACTGTCCCCCCATGTGAAATTTTGACTTTTTTGAGGTTATGATGCTTAACGTTATAAATCAATACATATTTTTAAAATATTATATTAAAACGTACTGTTTATTCTAGGAAAATTAAAAAAAATGTGAAGTCGTTTTGTCCCATTGCAAAAATGGACGCATATCTGTCCGACTGCTCCAATTTTTAATATGTATAAGAAATTCTTCAAAAGCTAAAGTCTGTTATCCAAATAATACATCGTAAACATATTACAAGATCCAAACGATTATCCAAATGGTAAAATTAATCTTTAAATTATTTGGATGATACCTCGATAATGTCGTAAGCACATTAACACTTTTTTTTGGAAATTTTAAGCTACCATACTTAGTTCTGTTGCTATTTACAAACAAACAAATTATATAATGTACTCATCAACTTGCAACGCCTTGCCCTATTTGTACCTTTTCGTGACACATATGATAATTTGGTATTGAAAAACTATAGAGTAAAATGATGAGATTTTTTAAAATAAAAGAAATGCATACAACAGTTAACCTTAAATAACTATCATTCCGATGCATGTTGCTTGGTCGGAAGACCAACTAAAAATGATGTTTCGTCTTCTCCAATAACAGGTACGATAACTGCCAACAGAGAGGCCTTCCTATCTACTTCAATTCAACGAGGAGCCCTTTACCATTGTACGTTAGCTTAAGTAAAGAACGTATCGTTGGCGATCAGCTGGAGTTGTTTCTTGGAAAACAGTTTGCAGTATTTAAGGTCCTCACTGTTGATGTTGCTTGCGTATCCTAGCTCATATCGTCCTTTTTGAGAAAAACAATTTTCTCATGATGTCCACGTACGGGCGAGGCTTGAATAAGTTCTACGTGTACTGTAGTACGTGTAACGTGTACATGCAGACACTGGAAATGATCGTGCGTATGCGCCAATAGGAGCAATTGTCTCGTTAAAGACTAATAGTTATCACTACCACTGGAACCACAGTACTGCTTTAAATTTTCTATGGCAGACGTTTCCGGCCCACATTCAAATCAGTGTCAACATTTCAAAGGGGCGTAATTGCGTTTGTAAACATTGGCTTTAGCCGTCGATATCTCGCCAGTAAATGTCCACCCCTCCAAATTAGCAATGCTAGCTGGTAGATGAAACATTCCTCTGCCTGTGTCTCTGTGGTGTCATTAACTTTCATGAGTGAGCTTTTTTCCATGAGAAATCGACGGCTAAATCTATTGTTTACAAATGTAATTACACCCCTTTGAAATGTTGGCACTGAAATCAACAATTTTAAAGAAAAAACTCCAACCGTCACTCACGAAGTGTCAAACATAACAACAGCAGCAACTGAGAAGTTGTTCACAGTGGGACATGCGTACATTTTTCAACTCGTCAGAGAAATTCGCAGCATAAGTCACAGAAAATTTTGTAATGGAAAAATTTCTTTTTATGCAACATTTTGATAAACTTTCTATGGAATAGTTGTATTACGTCAGTTTTTCGAAGAACAACCAAATTTTTCCGTGAAACTTTACGATAGCAGCAAAACGTCTGTTCAATCTTTAACTGCAGTTTTCTCATTTTTGAGTTTTGCAATATGGGACAGTTATGCTTCCACCGGCAGTATAATACTTACTATTAATAGAGATTATCGCATCTTTCAAACATGAGCTGTTCTTTCGAATTGTGTTCAAATAATTAGGGACCATCCATAAATACCGTATTTTGAACAATATTAGACCCCCCGCTCTTAACGTATTTGACTATACCTAATACATGGCTGGTCACAAGTTCTTACCCCCTCCTTTAAGGCTACATCTTTTAAACATATTTCCTTATTGGTGTTGGCGACTATAAATGCGGGATGTAAGAGGGGGCACGAATATGTGAATGATTGAATATTTTATTACAGAAGGGAATATTACCTGTTTTGTAATATTTCTATTTTTTAACTGTTTTGAGTTTCTAAAAAGGGTCAATAATTTGTTTACTTCTTCTTTTTGAAATATTCTTCGATCAACATTTTCTAAATTTATGGGTAAAATTCATTGCAAGTGCATGTCCCCACGCCAATAAATATCAACTGGTATGGTGAGGAAAATTTAACCATCTCTTTTCTTCCTTCATTTCAATACAACAGCAAATGTGATGTCACACTATCTAGTGCATGAGAAGGTAGCAGACAAAACGTTCACACTGCCAGACTTCGCTGTATGCATGGTTGTTTACACCTCTGAGCAGGAAAGCGAATACCAGGCTACGTGCACTGCTGCCATCAACCCAGCTAGTGTTGAATTCAATCTTCTGTGGCTTTTTAAATTGGACCGGTAAAATGCCTAGAATAATCGTTTTTGTTTTATTTACTCAGTTGATGATATTTAATCACCATTAAATACATCCACTCATCTATATTAATGAGTCAAACTTCACAATTGCTTGTTTTAATAAACTTAAATGCATTGCTAGAGGCAATACATCTGGCAACGCTTTTTCAATGATACTTTTACCAACAATCAATACGAAACTAACGATTTTAAATTGGCTCACCACTTTAGTAGCCTATTGGTCCCAAGCAAACGATTAACGTACCCTATTCTAGTTGAAATTCTATTACTACACTATGTTTGTTTTGATTCGCTATGAAAGTTTGACAGATAACATCAGGGGTGTGTGGATTCATGCAGAACATGCAGGGGTGAGTGAAATAGCTTGGGACTGCTTGGGACCGTTGTTCTGGTACTGAGTGAGCCAAAAATAATAATGATTTTCTTCGGGACCCAGTGGTCTTAGAGTTACCTCTATGCTTTTACGATTGCCGGCAAAGCAGTAAAGTTGAAGTGGTTTTCTTGGTGTTCAATTTTGTTCACCAAGAGTTTTGAGTAGCAGTTGTTTTGGATTTTGTGTATTCGATTGTGTGTTATTGTGCTAAGCTTCGAAGAACACAAGTAAGTAAATACAGTGAATATGTTTTAGCCAGGAAGTTTTCGTTCTAAAATGATGAAATACAAGTGTTACATTTTTGTATTAATAATATGAGAATGTATGTGTAAGCAAATGATGATGATTGAAGAATATTTCAAAAAGAAGACGAATACAAATTGAATTACCCTTTGTAGAACCTTAACGAGATTTTTCACCAAAGGCTATACTGCCGCTCTTGGCAAGTCCGTCCCATAGCACAAAACAGCAATCCGAGAAAAACGCGTTTAATTTTGCTTTGTACTGTTGCTTCTTATGTAATGAGACAACCCATTTGGCTGTTTTTCCAAATTTTTCCAGAACAAAGTTGTTGAGTTTATTCAGTATCATGAAACTCGGGGCGATAAGCTACCGCTTCCATTGAAAACCTCAGTTTTGACAAAAACGCAAATGGGACAGACTTGCAAAGAGCGGCAGTATAGTGTTCATCGCCAACTTCAATATAAAACAAAACAAAAAACTCGAAAGAACAGATCATGTTTCAATGAAAGAAGGGAAATATTAACAGTACCTAGAAGCAACATAAACTATAGACGGTAACCGCACAATACCCAATAATGACTACAAAGTAAGCATTTTCGAGGGAAACTGGGAATACCCATTAAATGAGTAAAATTGTACCTGAGTAATTATGAGTAATTACAACTACAAAAATAAGTAGTAAGTATTCATTTTTAAGAAACAAATAGTCATAAATGGGTAATATTTTAACTAATTTAATAGGTAGTCCCAGTCTCCCTCGAAAATGCTTACTTTGTAGTCAATATCGAGTCTTTTAATGTCATTATTGGGTATTTTGAGGTTACCGTGTATGGCATAGAAAATGTATTTTAAATCGGGTTTCTATTACCCCCATTAACCATCGGATTGCCATAACTTATTTACTGTAACTTTTGTTGTTGTTTTATTTTGCACACAATTTAAAACTTTGCTATTTCTGAAATACTGTATGTCCTACAAAATCAATTTGTAAAAAGTTGAAGTATTCAAGAATTTGAATCTGTTTCAATTTATGATGGTAGGGTATGAATGTATAAAACGCCCGCTGGACAGAACGCCTTCTTAGCATTTCTACTAATTAAGGCTTAATATAAATACAATACTGATGGGTAATCCAAGTATTTAATGGGACAACTCAGCTGGGCAAGTTTCACAACTGTCAATTGTCGTAAATCAAAAATAAAATAAAATTCTAAAACTAATGCTCTGGGGCATATAACACCTTTGGGGTGGGGCGTTTAGAATAGAGCATAAAGTCTCTTTGTTGAGGGAGCATATTAATTGATAGATGGAGTGAATTACTCCGCCTAATTGTAGAACCCAGAATTTTAGTGTTGTCGAAAAAATCTATATTTCTATGTTAACTGCCACTGGAGAAAAATAAACGATTACAGGTTATTTTTAATTCCCAAATACGTTAATTAAAGTGAAAACAGTAAAAATATAGCTGCTTCTCCTTGAGGGGGCGTATTACTACATGTTTACCTTACATTTCAAGCTGAACATTGCATTGGGGACTTTCTCTTTGGATCTCCACGGCCAATTAAAGACATTCCCAGGTTTTTTTTCTGCACACAGATCGATAAAAGAAGTTTTTATCTAGCATCTAATCAGTTGATAGCTAAGCCCCGTGCGTGAAAGACGTGTTTCTTTTATCCGTCTTGTTATCAGGTTACAAGCTAATGAGTTTGAGTTCGTGAGACCATCTTGGTAGTAGACTTTAGTGTGCTGCCGAAGCGACCAGATGCATCTGCCGTACAGAAATTCATGTACGGTGAGTTGAAACTGGACATAGCGGACGCCTTAAACATCCAGTTTCACAATGTTCACAATGTCTACGTCGAGATGGTAGATGCAGCAACAGCCAAGCGCTACTTTGCATCACATCATCTACAACACACTATGCAGTGCGAGAAAAAAGCTTACCAAATTCCCGTGTTCGTGGAAGACGAAGCCATTAACGTGAGAATCCATGATCTCCCTTCGAAAATACCTAACACGGTGATTATAGAAAGTATGCGACCATTCTTTCCATCAGCAGAGAAATGTGGAAGAATTATTTTCTCGGCATCTACAATGGAGTACGTGTAGTACGGATGAAGCTCAAACAACTCATCCCTTCCTATCTGACGATCGACGGTGAGACAACATTGATTACATATCGCAATCAAGCAAAAACATGTAGGTTCTGTGGACAAAAGTATAATAGCTCTACATCACGCATTACTGTAAATGACCCTACAGACGCAGCAAAGGTCACAAACGATGAAAACAGCGAACAAACATTACTCGATACCAATCAAAACCAATCTAAAATTCTTCGATACAATCGATGTAAATATTTACATTATTTGACAAATCTCAGGTAATCATGACAGCAGTTGGTCTCTTTTCTTCATTCATATTGTTTTCAACAATCAAACGTCATGATTACCTTAGTTTTGTCAAAAAAGGTAAATATTTACGTTGTTTGTACCAAAGAATAGGCGAGACCAGCAAAAACACCCAGCACCAAAACAAGAGATGAACTAGCCTCAGGCTAAAAATCTCTATAATAAAGAAAAAAAAAAAAAAAAAAAACCAGCACCAAAACTCCGATGGAAACAATAGCGCACAAGAATCGACGGATAATGAATATTATGAATTTCTAAAGGGTCACCCACATTAGATCCGTTCGCGTTGCGTTGACGTAAATTTGACAGTTAGACAATAGATTTAGCTGTCACTTTGCCGCAACGCGTCCGATTAGGATCTAATGTGCGTGGGCCTTAACCGTCACTAACAAACGAAGGCTGTCAACGAAACAAAAACACAACAATGCGAAACGATATCAAGCTGAACATTGCATTAGGTCCTAGGTAAAATTGACAGATTCTCTTCGTCGTCTTTCTCTTTGTATCCCCACGGCCATGTAAAGACATTCTCATGTATTTTCAGCATACAAATCGATAAAAGAAGCTTTTATCTAGCATCTAATACGACAAACACAACAAGGAAAGGTTATCGGCTCGAGTTATTAACGAAAGAGAAAGTCGACGAAGAGAATCGATCAATGTTACTTAGGACCTAATGCAATGTTCAGCTTGATATGTTACGAACCAGGGTTGCCAGAATGATGAATCAGCAGGAAATGAAAATTCGATGGAAGAAAAAGAAGACGAATTCTCGCGTCACTTTTCAAATAGATCAATGTAACATATCCACTAAAGAGCCTAAATTTATAAAGAGGCGAAATGTCAAAATTGGAACAATCGATTGTCTGTCAAAGTCATAGGAAAAGTCATTCCAATCGAGCAGAAGACCTGTCAAATGGATAAGATGTCGTCTCTTTATAAATTCAGGCTCTTTAATATCCACCATTTTGAAGTTCGACAGATTATTATTTTAACTGTTTCGAAACAATACATTTTGCCATACTATTTTAAATGTAGTCAGTGAATAATAACGTTAAAATTTCAATAGAAACGGTGAACCTCACAATTTACTTTGAATTTCATGCTACAATACAGAAAAAAACCACATAGGACGGTTTGACTAGTCAAGTTGTACATCGGACAATTTTTCTCAATGACATAATCAATGAGTGTTAAATTGGACGTTTTGTTCTTCATGATACTAGATTCCCTTTCACAGATTTCAGAGTAGACAATTTTTGGCCTATGATTATCTTAAATAAATGAAAGCAAATTTGGATGGATGTTTTTGTATCACATACAATGACAGAAGAGCAATAGTTTGTATCGCTTAACTCGATTTGTTTACATTTGTTACTTAGTACCTTTTGAAGAGTGACGCGAAAATTGATCAATGTTTCTTAGGACCTAATGCAATGTTCAGCTTGATTTGGGATGATGGGATATACATTTTAACTAAATCCCGTTATGGTTATGGGACATTCGGGGTAATGTTTCACAATCTTGGTATTTTATTAATTTTCGGGGTTATGGTAAATTAGGGAAAGTTAAGTATAAGATTCGGCGTACTGCAGCATAATCATGCGCAGTATAGGGGGAGTTCCGATTTTGGGCTTTTGAAAAAATCACGAGATTTCAGATTCGGTATGTGTTCAAGATGATGAACGTAAAAAAATCAAAGTTTCAGACATTTTCAAACTGTTCTAAAACTCATAGAGAAGCTTGTTGTCGAATATCTTGTTCTATGAGAGAATTTTCTCCTTCGAAATGTTTTCCGCGAAAAGGATGTTATTCTGGTAAATATCATAGAATCCGATGATGATAATACAATTAAGCATACAACAAAACTTACCTTCAGCTGTAAATTCTGATACTTCGTCAGACGAAGATTCACTCATGTGAGCTGGTTGTAGCCCACTGGATACGGACACAATCTTGCCACTCAAGACGTTTTCCCTACGCTCTTTAAGTTGTTCAAGAGCTTGCTGGACGAAAATATTCTCCGGACAATCAACGCCATCAACTACAATTTGGTTTTCTAGTTCCTGCTGCTCGCGATCGATAATGGTAAAGATTTCCGGTGTTCCAGCGACGAGTAACTTGGTGAGAATAGAGTTACCGATATTGGAATTGAAAAGCGGAATCTCAAGACTTTTCTTTCCAGCGTCGGATGCGTTTTTCACCTTCATGGATGTTTTCTCACGATGCATCAGTTGGAAGCTTACAAATTCGCCAACAGTGTACGAGTGGTATGGTTTTAGAACACAGCTTCGTAAATCAGGAACATGGATCGCATCATAGCAGATGGGGCATTTGCGCCAAGCTTTATCAGACAATGCAAGATAATGTAAAATACAAGGCCAACAGTAAATGTGGCCACACTTGGTCATTTTGGCCGCCACCGGTGGATACAGACAGATGGGACATTGCGGTTCTTCGGAGCTAAAGTTGTGAACTTGCTCGATTTTTTCCCAATCCACTAAATGATCAGGAGTTGCTAGAAGTGGAGTATAATCCTCACCAGCACGTACGACAAATTGGCAATTTGCTTGCAAATATTGTTCCTTGTTGTAAGTGATCTTCTTCGCGTAGCTACGAAGATTGCCCGTCTTGCTGAGCCGAATGGGCTGATCACGATCCCGGGGCGTGTAATGGAAGTTCAACAAATGGTTCAAACTTTGTTTCTTTGAACCAGGTGAGAACACTGAATGTAGTTCATGCCTTACAGTGCCTGATTCACTGTCAGCGTACGACGCTAGTCCGGCTCCCTCGTGGTGGTCGTCGCACTGATCAGTTGTATCAAGTGTCCAAGCTGCAGTCGCCGGAAGTGGCGGACAAGTTGCTTCCGGGTGCTGCCTCGAGCGCTTGTCATAGTTAAAGTTAGTCTGGTTACGATTTTTGCCCGCTGGTGTTGCTTTCCCGCTGGTACTACGACTATTTTCCGGCTTAAATCCACCTAAGATTGGTTGCTCACGTCTTTTGGAGTTGCGAGGCCACTTGGTTGAAATATCTGCAAAGAAAAGAATATTTAAATTTAGCAACGCTACCTAGTCGAACTGTAAAGTTAAAGCAAGCAATTAGATGTCAAGCGGTATACTAATGCCGCCTAGTGGGGGAATTATCAACTGAACTGATAACCATCCAATCCAATAGTAGAATCCAAGTAAAATTTATGCGTCACTGGTCATAAATTTATGACAGCCGGTTCAAATTCCAGAGTTTGAATGATAAATTATTGAAAAAAAAAATTCAACATGGTGAGATACGATCATTATTATGGATGATACATGTAGGAAATTTGTCGAATATTGTAATGCTATGTTAATTTTCATTACAATGTCATTGAAAGATAATGAAAATGCGTTTTTTGATGCACCGATATTATTTAGATTATGTCAATCTCACCACAGTTTGTTGAGATTTGCAGCTGGCGAGTTTCGTTAGCTGCAATATCACAGCTTGCAAAATCAAGGGCAGCTGTATGCTTGCTAATTTTTGTCTACGAAAATCAAACGTGATCTTGGTCATTGGTGAGATTTGATTTTTTCGAGGATTTTTTGATATTTTCCCAACACTGGTTAAGCTACATAACAACCCCCTTGTTGTATTGTATATTTCCCCATTTACCATAGATTCTATTGTGGAAACAATACATTCTATTGGTATTTTATCGTAGTGGAGAATATGATTTATTGTAAATACAATAAACTCTATTGTATGGTAACAATACATTTCATTTTACGGGAGGTCATTTGTTTTTATTTTACTCAACAATGTTAGAAAATTAAAAATAAGCATTGAAATTTTATGAAGTATAAGTTGTAAAAGTTATGCTCGATGTTTCATTTTCTCAAATTCTTCTAATCAAACCAAATTTCAACTTTATCTAATCATTTGGCAGATTAAAAGGATATTGAATTCGCTAGCTGTTTTTCGAACCTATATACCTAAGTGCACTACGTATTTTTTTTTTATTAAAAATTTTGGGATGGCTTCATCTGTATTTCTCTATTTGCAATCGTGTTCATATGTTTTATCAACTTTATTGTATTTTGTAACAATTACTGGTTAATTAAACAATAAGAATGAAAAACTAACATCCCTTCTAACGAGCAATCAGAAATCAGAACATGTGAGCATCAGAAATCCGTTCAAAATTAGCGAAAATAATAAAATAAAAAATGAAAAATTGGGATTTAGCGAGGGGCACGCAATACCGGTGCGTTGAAGTTAAAATACAATCAAAAGTACTTAAAGTAACTAATGCGTTTTGAAGTAGTTCTGACGGTAATTATCTATCCGTAATCGGAAATTTCAACTGTAATTAATGGAGTTAAAAAGTAGTTAATGTTCTACATTGTGTAATTAATTACAGTAGTAGTTAATGGAATTAATTTAATTACAGCCATTTGCCTGCGTTGGAGTTAAAGGTTATTGCGTGCCCCTAGGGATTTGGAAGAAAGGATTATTTATGGATATTAATAAATATAATCCAGAGTTAAACATATATTCCACTAATTTGAAAAATCCGTTAATTAAAAAAAAAAAACCTGTTATCTGTATATACAGATATCTGTATCAAAGCACCCACATCGACCGGAGGAAAGGCTTCGCGCAATAGAAAGCATGACTATGCTGTCTTCATCCGGTTGGCATCTACTTGCACTGGTGTGGCCACCATTTGAAAAACAACCGGCCCTTTTCAGGGTCACCAATTCAAAAGTTAAGAACTAAACGAGTGTGACGCTGTTAACAAAAGTGACCATATATGTGTGGTGTATATACCCGCCATGGTTAATCGTATGTGGTTAATCCTTACTTTATTAGACAACCTGAAATCGCTTTTTGTGACACTCTGAATGCGAAATTGAAAGGTTTTATGTGTCATACACAATGCATTTTGCATTTTGTATAAATCATCATTATAATATCCCGATGTATCATTATAATATCCAATTGTTTCATAATTCCGAAAAATAGTATTTTAGCTGAAACGAGCATTTGCAAGTTTGCATCTTATATTATACATGCTTATTTTTAAGCATAATCAAAATTTAGTTAAAGCATGCATGAAAAATACCCTATTTACAACTTGCATCATTTTTGAGTAGGGTAGAGTGGGGTCTCTATTTTTTTGATTGCTGTTGACACCGACAATTACTCACAAAAAATTTACTGGCTGACCCATAGTGCCATACATTACCCTACTAGCCTACGTCGTTTAATGAAATAAATCTAAAGCATTGCAGAACAAAGTTACAACATACCAAAGTTGATCATTTACAATTACAATTTCCCAGTAACTGATTATTCAAACAACAATTATTTATAGATTGTGGCGAATGGTGTATAACAAAGATAACCCTAAATTTAAGAGAAAAGACAGGTGATAGCAGCAAGAAATTGCAACGCAATTAATCAGCATAGGCTTTTTTTCTTGCAAAAGTCTATTAACTCACCTTGATTTTTCTTTGAATCAGATATCTGCCCCTTGGACAGGGACTGATTCGCAAAGCGATGATTCTTCTCCATTGGCGGAGCTTACGATGATGCTTAAAACTAGGTCAAACGAGGAAAAAATAGAGGAGTCCAACTGGTAATCTCCAGCCAGGTACCGAATCAGTTCCGGATCGGGACGGAGGAGTACTTTTCCCCCACAGTACGGAGCGTTGAAGCTGCTGCTGACGGATGACACTTTGTGTGCAGACATCTTTTTAGTTGGCCATGGTTGTACAAGGTCGATGAGAAAAAAGGAAAATCTCCTAATGTGATTTTCTTCCTTGCTGGTAAAGTGGAGGGGTTTACTTGAATCGAAAGTGAAAAAACGGCTGAGAAAGCGCTGTGCTTTAGCTGGCAATGATGCGCTTCTGCTATCGATGGCCAGTGAATCCTGTTTGGAGGCAGGCCTGGGAATCTGTGCGAACAACGGCACTCGCGGAAAACTTGCGGAAAATTTCCGATTAACTTTTGCACGCAGACCGTCGCGTTGCAAATGGCGACGAACGAATGACGTTAGCACCATCAGCCTTCACGCCCGTCACCCAGGTTGGAAGATGCGGCATGGTTGCCAAATCTGCGCTGATCGATTCTTTCATAACTATACACACGGTGTTTCGTGAAAACCCATTAATGGGTAAAAACAAAATACCCATTTTCAAACCATGAATGCAGCTGTCAAAAAATGGGGGAATTTTGAAATCATAAAATGGGTGAAAAAATACCCATTTAAAGAATCAGTTCACGGTTGAATAATGGGTATATTTTTACCCACTAATGGGTGAAAAAACATTCGAAATTTCATCGTCTCATTTCGCTCACCGATTCATTGGGAATGCAAACAGTTACTGTCCGCAGCATATTTGGCGAGAATAGACTATCTCCGGAAAATGTTAGAATCCGAAACGTTGGAGAGGATTACGGATAAGTCCATACAAATTATCCAATATGGTATTATAATATTTCGTGTAATAAGATTTGAGCGGAACACCTGCATTTATTTTCAATGTATTAGAAAGTTTTTTATATCAACGAGGACAATGACCAAGCGCTTGCATCCTCCATTTGTAAAAATGGGTATTTTTTCACCCATTTTACGGTAAACACCACTTTAAAAAATGGGTGAAAAAACACCCATTTATTGACAGATCACCCATTTACCCATTAATAAGTAAACCATAGTTTACCAACTTAATAAGGAGGGGCACTTTTAGCGGAAATGGGTATTTTTATACCCATTAATGGGTTTTCGCGAAACACCGTGTAAAGGTCATCTGTTGGTATAAGACACGTACATCGAAAGCAGTTGCACCAAGCATATTTTTTGCACATTTTATTTTCTACTTCCCGAGCAGAGACCGCTGTTTATTTTGTTTACTAACTCCTTCTTACTACACTTTATTGCTGTTCTTCTGGAATAAAGAATATGAAGAAAGCTCAGCTGTTTCGCTATCAATAACTTCAGCAAAATAAAAATTAAGTTTAAATTTTTATTGGTCATTGGAAAATGACTTTGTTTAACAAAATATGTCGCATGTGTGCCGAATCGGGTCGCTTTCTGTTTCCGCTTTTCGGACCAAATCACAAGTTTGTGGAAATCCTGGCGCGCGTTGCAGAAATACAGGTAATGGAAATGAATGAAAATCGTGGATTGTTCATTATAGGTTAATATTTTTTATGTTCACAGATTGACGAGAATGACGGACTGCCTCAGTCTGTCTGTAGTAACTGCTTCAGTGATCTTGGAACGATGGAAAAAATGATTAAAAAATGTAGGCAATCTCATGATTGCTTTCGGAATCAACTGATACAAACTGCTGCAAGGTAACAGATTGGTTAAAGGTGTGATCAGTTCACGAAGATTTGATGTACTCTTCTTATAACAAATTTGCCAGATGAGAAATCTCACAGTCGACCGATTTTCAATCGCATTTCGATTTTGGCGAGATATTTTTAAAAGCTTTGTTACACTAACATTAGCACCTTAGAGCACCGGAACTAATATTTGCAACGTTAACATTTCAAAAATATTATTGGAAAATAGTCTAAAATGATCGAATGCGTCACACCAACGAGATTTAACGTAAAACCGTAGTTTTATAAGCGTTTGCGCACAACTTACACATTGCGCGTAACATTATGCCGCGGATACACTTGTATCATAGAGGATGGCTGGGAAGGAAATGGATCAGGATTCGCTATAAGCAAGCGATGCGACAGTAGTAGCGTAGTAGTATTTATGTGGAGAGTTTGGGAGTGAACCCATGATATTCTACTCAGTAAGCAGAATCGGCTCAAGCCAAGCTCATCCATTTGCCTGAAGGCTATAAGTAGGAGACAAACTCCACGATGCCGGAGAGCATTTTCACCTCAGCAGTTTGTGTTCGGCCAATGGATACCTACTAGGATTTAGATCATCATGCTTCGCGCCTCGCTGACTTTTCTATGCAGCATAAGGTGGGGTAAGGTGTTCTGCATCTACTGACCTTTTTTTTAAAGCATGCCATCATTGGGGTTGCATTCAACCTGTTGGTATCGTAAAAAATATAAATACATATACTAACTACCCGTGATTCATCTTGCCTTATCTTATGCTACGTTATCAATTTATTTAATAGCATTCAACTGATTGCAAAAAGCTTTCTATCGTTAAAAATATAATTTAATTGTTATAACTGTCTCTTTTATTTTTACAGCATTTCGATTGTGGAACAATCTGCTAACATCGACGGAGCTGTGGAGATGATCGAATGTTTAGAGGAAACTGAACTGGTTGACATAATTGAGGAAGATTCAACAAATGCGGAAGTTCTGGAAACAGATGACATCATTGAAGTCGACACTTTTGAACAAGGCGATGCTTTGTCAGAACCTATCGAAGAGCCGATTAACGATGAAGAAAGTTCCGTCTCATGCGTCGACGATCTGATCATTGTAGATCCAATGGCTCAAGTGGCCGAGAGTCAGGAAGCCAACTATACGCAATGTTGCGGTTGTGTGGAAAATTTCGCTTCCCATGAGGAGCTTCAGAAGCACTCGCAGTTGTACCACAAATCTCATAGGGGCATCTGTGGGCCAGCACCGGAAAATCTGATTGAATGCAGTATATGTTATAAAATGTTCTCCGGCATCGTCTATCTAGATTCGATGCACAGATTGAACGCTTTCAAGAACCGTTTAAACTCTGTTGGCTTCCCCAGGATGATGCAGTGTTGTTCCTGTGAAACTTTGTGTACGACTAAAAATGAATTACTTCAGCATTCTGCTATACACATCGGTAATAAGACAAAGAACGACCCTGCCAAGCCATATGAATGCAAAATTTGTTTCAAAAGATACAACAAAAAGCACACGTTGAACTTTCACCAGAAGTTCGGTTTCAGCTACAAAAAGCAGTTGACAACAAAAAGTCGTGGTTGTCGAGCTATAAGGAAGCGCTCCGAAATCGAATGCTCTGGAGAAGGTCGAAAGTGCTGTGGCTGTTCTGCAGAATTTACATCTGCAGATTCTCTAAAACAACACTCTCAAATGCACCACGAATTATATCGACGTCAGACAGACGGTGATAATCCTTTTGAATGTGAAATATGTTTCAAACAATTCCCAACGCAAATAAGATTGGAACAGCATCGACTGGTTCCCTATATGCTCGGGCATAAATGTACCACATGTGATAAATCTTTCCGTTCGTTATCTGTGCTTGTAAAGCACATGGATAAACACTTACAGCTTGAAGGTGAATCTTCAACGCACGGGATGTCGCCTCCAACGACGGACGAACCTGTCCAGTGTGAGGAATGCGGTAAAATTCTTCAAAATGAGTACAAACTTCGTGCGCACTTGAAATCGAGTCATTCACAGGAGAAACCGTTCAATTGCAGTTTGTGCTCGCGGCAGTTCAAGTGGAAGCATATGCTGCAAAACCATCTACGAGTGCACACAAAGGAGCAACCCTATTCTTGTAGTTATTGCCCAAGAACGTTCACCCAGCTGGCTGACAAAAATCGCCACGAGCTTAGCCACAGCAAAGCATATCCTTTGCGGTGTTCCGTTTGTGGTAAGGGATTCCCTGCTGGAAGGAAAAAGCTGTTGGAAAACCATGAAAAGGTTCACCAAGCTGGAGAGGAATATCCATACACGTGTCAGTTTTGCGATCGTACCTTCACAAGGTTGCCGCAACGGAACAGACACCAGGCAAGGCATGTCGCGGAGAGAAATAGAAACATGGTTATGGAGGAAATTGCAACTCTATAGAACCTTCGACTGCTTTTTAACGTGATCAAAAACAATTCATGCTATAACATCATGTTCAATCAAAATAATACAACTCCTTATTAATCATCAACAACTATTTATTTAAAAAAAAAAACTAAATCAGCCAATTTTAATGAAAAATCATACCACAGACTAACAGACATAACACTGGCAATTTGTTCATCAAACACGTATTTAACTGTAAATTTGAATGTTTTTAGTTGGTAGTACCGCCACCTGTGGAGCACATAATCAATAAACCTTGCGTTTGACGTTTACACACTACCACCATCTGTTAAGAGTATTACCCATCACAATATACTCAACAGATGACGATAGTGTTTTGACGACGATGTTGAAAAATATTAAATGTTTTATGTCTGTTTGTCTGTGATCATACTATTATTTATTTCTTATGGATTTGTTCATGCCTTTATTAAAAATATTTCACAGTCTCCGACTCGAATTTCACAGAAGTGATAAAGTGTCACTAATAAATTATACCTTCCACAAATCACCTGATCTGGCTAACTTTCACCGTCACTTCTAAGGCATGCTTGGCATGCATAGTTGTTATGGGACTGATATGGGATTATAGGCAGGACAGTTCCACGATTTCATCACAGCCGGTGAGAGAAAATTTAAAGCAGCAAGTCTAACGCAAATTATTTACTAAACACTTCATTAAAAGGTCGAGCCATCCTGCAAAAATGTAAAGCACAGACTTTTTTTTGTCAAGTGCAGACAATAGTACCGTCACTCATATCGTGGTTGATGATTTTAAGGATCGATTCGGAAAACTAATCCCATCTGAGCTGCGGGACAGAGCATCCGAGCATCTAGGGCTTCAAATCTCGATCTTGAAAAATTAGGGATTTAGGGTTAAATTGTAGAGCTTTAGGACAATTTTATATTGCTGGGATTTAAAAATTAGAGAGACAAACATATTGAGAAAACATCTCTGATCACGCCTTTCTTCGGAAGGAAAGTAAAGCAGTTGGTCCCCGGTTCATGAGTTGATGGGTCGATAGGTAGGGTCCAGGTGTGGGAGCTGCCTCCCTGGCGTCGGTAGCATCGGTGCTCAGCACGGAAAACAAGATCGACGGAAAACAAATCAAGGAAAAAAAAATTTTTTTTTCTAAAACCTGGACTTGAAAATTTGTTGATTCCGGATTACAAAACGGAAAAAAACCAATACAATTTAATAGACTTAAAAAGGAACTCAAGATTCTTCGCCAAGAATTTTTTCTCGATGTTTGTGAACAACCTGTGGCTGGATATGAATCAGGAGTCTTCCACCTTGCCTCTACAAGCAAGTACAATCAATATATTAACTATTCACTGCCTGATGCCGATCAAATTTTCAGCAATTCTAACTATGTTAGTCATTGTGATGATGCCTCTGTAACTCCTAATCCTGGAAACCCGGAACGCGCCGTAAAAAGCCCCATGGAAGCCCCCAATCCCTCCGTCTCAGTCCTGCCATCAGCAACCTTCGTTCATCATAGTCGTTCCGGACCTGCTGTCGGATGCGGAGAGGGGGTCTTCCACTCACTATGGCGAGTATCCAATGAGACTTGATGATGGTCAGTTATTGCCTGATGTATCTGTGATTTCCAGGGAGAGCAGTCGTTTGATTCCTTGCCGCAAGCAGGACGTCGTGATCTTCTACCACAACACCGGTGGAATGAATTCTGATGTTGAAGAGTACCGCCTAGCTGTATCGGATCGTTGCTACGATATTATTGTCCTGTGCGAAACGTGGCTCGATTATCGAACGCTTTCCAGTCAAGTCTTCGGTCCAGACTACGAGGTCTTTCGTTGCGATCGGAATCCTAACAACAGCCGTAAATCTACTGGTGTAGGTGTCCTTGTAGCTGTCCGTAGCGGGTTGGAGGCAAAGGCCATCGAGAACGATTCATGGAACTACATGCAACTACACAAAGTGTCTCACCCTCCCTGGCAGACGAGAGAGCTACGTAGGTTGAAGTCAATCAAGAGAGCAGCATTGAGAAAATTTACGAAGTCTCGCACGCTTCCTCTGAAACTACATTATGTGAGGCTGAATCACATGTACCAGCGAGTCAGTCGTGAATGCTTTTCAAGTTTCCAACGAGGCATCCAGCGCAAACTTAAGCTACACCCGAAATCCTTTTGGAACTGCGTGAACGAGCAACGCAGGGAATCCGACCTCCCATCGTCTATAGAATTCAGGATATATGCCGCCTTTTTCTGACAAGTTTGCCAGTGTATTCACTTATGCGATACAAACTGATGACCATATTAACCGGGCTGCCAGGAACGTTATAGTAAACGATCAAACGCTGGGTGCAATTGATGTTAATGCAGAAATGATTTCTAAGGCCGCGACTCTGCTCAAGTCATCCTTCAATCCTGGACCTGATGGAGTTCAATCTGTATTGAAGAGACATATTGCTAGCTTGTTAATTCCGCTTCTTCGCCTGTTCCGAATGTCTCTCTCAGGTGGCATTTTTCCATCTTGCTGGAAATTTGCGCACATGTTTCCCATCCACAAAAAAGGAAGGAAACGAGCTGTGGATAACAATCGAGGAATTACATTGTTAAGTGCCGTTTCGAAGCTATTCGAGCTAGTGATTATGGAACCGTTGCTGTTCCATTGCAAGCAGTATTTGAGTGCTGATCAACATGGGTTTACTGTCGTCCGCTCTACAACTACCAATCTGCTATGTCTCACATCGTATATAACCGAAAGCATGTCGGATCCGGTTCAAACGGACGTTATTTATTCAGACCTATCCGCAGCATTCGACAAGTTGAACCATGCTATTGCGATTGCTAAACTCGGCAGGCTCGGTGTATGCGATAATCTTCTGAGTTGGTTTCGATCATATATTACCGGTCGGCAACTAAAAGTTGCCATAGGAGATCGCAGCTCAGCTAGCTTCTTCGCCACATCAGGTATACCTCAGGAAGCCACATGGGACCGTTAATTTTTATACTGTACTTCAACGACGTGCATCTGGTCATCGAAGCTCCTCGGTTATCATATGCAGATGTGTATGTATGTATGTATGTAAGGTAGCCACCATCCCTTCGAAGATCTTGTCTTGTATGCAGCTCCACTTAATAGCAAGATCAATTTGAGCTACCGATCTGAATTCACAATATCGCTGTATGAAGGGCCAAAAACGGTGGTGTGGACCCGTAAGCAGAGGCACTTACGCGAAATCCACGGGAATTTAAGAATCTCCTTCCAACGATACGATCCAACAAATCGAATAACGCAATTCGCAATACTTATTAAGCTTCCTACAGGATGGTTTGTTAAGAAGGGTGCGTCAATCTCACTGAAACTGTTGAAATAGAATTCACACCACCACAATCGAATCGGTAGGATAAAGAAAATGATAGTGTTTATTCCCTTCTAGACTCCGGTTGTCATACCACTCCATCGTCCAATTTCAGGTCAATTGATACCCTGATGCTCCCTCCCAACCCAGTATTTATTTATATATATAGTAAACATATGTAATGGAGAAATGAAATATATCAGAACATTAAAATACGTAATAATGAAAATACATTTATATGGATAAAAAAAACTGGTATTCCGCAATGAAAATAATAATTATTTTACATACAATATGATGCAGCTCTATGTCTCCTCAGCTCCCAATAAGGAAGATGTAACCCTGAAATTTCCAGGTTATATTATGCAAATAAATATTTTTAGCTAGAATGATACTTGATATGTTTGTGTTGTGTTATGTTGTGGGAGAGCTTGGGATTAAACCCATGATGTTCTGCTCATTAAGCAAAACCGATCCCTCTAAGGTTATCGAGCATCTCAAAACCAAAACACTAGATGGCAAAACATGATTAAGCCCTCACCTGGTATGTAATGAACAACAGAAATACGCGATAATTCATATATTTTCAGCATATGATGCAATATCACAACTGTTGATAAAAGGAACGGATCCCATCTTATTTAAGACCTGGATGACCTGAAATGTGTGTAACCGGGTTAATACTTATTTAAATGTAATGTAATATTGAAAATGCTTTATAATGCCATGTAACAAGATACAATAAACACAAGATTTTTACAAAACAGATAATGAACGATTCAGATTTCTTTTCAAGCTGACACTATGCTTCCCTGGAGCCGCTCATAATAGCTAACATTAAGAATTAAGTATAATAAAATGTAATTTACAATAATATTAAATTATGTAAAGTCAATAATGAAAGATATGTAGTACTATAAACACTATACAAATAGGAAAACCAATAGCTAGCTTAGCTTAGATTGACTGCACTCCGTGATTGATCAGAATCAGTGAAATTGTACAATGAATCAACTGAATGGGGCTGGGAGTGACCGTCCATTCTCATTGTACAAGTTTCAGTGACTCTATATGTTGTAGATCAATAACGGCGCCGGCCACGTCCTTGCAATCAGGTGGGAGTAGGGAAGGAATATTAGAGTGACCTTTGTTGTTTGTGGGCCGTGTTTACCTCTGCACCCCAACAAAAGACACAGAAAAGGAGATTTTGTTAGTAAGTTGGGTTTGTTGGATCATGATTCACCTTGATAAGTGATGCGACCATGGTTTTAAATGAATCAGTGTTATCATGCATTATACTTGGATTTGCCCGAAGCCAAAACCAAATGGTGTATCATTGGGCCTTATTACGGGTGTCACTACACGGTGATAAGCAAGTGATACTCAGAATAAGAGCCGTGATTACCGTACAAATCAAATGGGAATCACTTCACCGTGACGACAAGTGACAACTTTTCACCGTGATGTGACATCCGTAATAAGCCCCCTTATAATATAAATCTGAAGACGTTCCATCATCAAAATGCTGAAAATGAACTTAGAGCATGAGCATGAGCAAAATTGATCGCCCGCGACTGCCAACACCAAAGAGCTGAAAACCAATTCAAACAAATCAAATCAACAGACAAAACCAGGGTGAAAGCTGTAAGAGTGAATCATTACAGTATAAATCTAGTGATGTTCCGTCATCAAAGAGCTGGAAGAAAACTCAAATAATTTAAATCAATAGATCCAGTCTGAATGAAGGCTGCAAAAAGAGAATAATTATACAGCAATGACCAAATTTTGTCAGCTAGCAAAGTATGTGTATCTTAAACATTCATCTTGAAGGAGGAAGGTATGAAATTACAATTATGTGGAATTATTGAAAAATAACAGTCTGATGCGCGGAGAGATTGACAGGATCGGGTCATAACTGTAATGTGAATATTAGGAAGATTTATCATCATCAAACTATTCTTGAATTGACCTGGAAGAATGCTTGTAAATAATTGTTATACAGATAAATTAAATTGATAAACAAAATGGTTCAAACAACAACTCCAGCCTGTAAAAAAGCTGAAAATAGGGAATCTTTACAATGTGGATCCCCGACGGTCTTCTTTTCAGTAAGCAAAAGCGGCAGCCACCAGGCTAGTCGATCTGCTCAATTTATATATTGAAACCTTATTTTGAGAAGTTCTTAAGAATACCAATTGAAACACAATGTAAACAAATAAAAGTTAAGAGTCTCATCCGAATCAAATGATTCCAAACGATACGCATTCATAGAAATTAAGTTTAAATAGACAAAAGTAGAAAAATGGAACAATCTCACCAAATCAGTCCAACTGAATCCCTTGCAAGCAGCTATGTCACGCTTGGTGTAGTAGCTCCGATCATAGACCCGCCCTACGGGGATCAATCCTTTGGTTGAATGTAGTCGATTGCTTCATGACGCGAACACGAAGCGACCGCTCACAAAATCATACAACGCGTAAACAAACTGAAATCAAAAACTGGTTATCATATGCAGATGACCTCAAAATCTTCCTACGAATCTGCTCCATTGCTGACTGTCACTTTCTTCAGCGTCAACTGAATGTATTCGTTAGTTGGTGCAGGTTAAACAGAATGGTAGTGAACCCAGCCAAATGCTCCGCTATTACGTTCTCACGAAAACAACAACAATCGAACGCGTGAATCAGGTGAAAGACTTGGGTGTGATCTTGGATTCGCAGCTTTCATTCAAGCAACACATTGCATATGTTGTTGATAAGGCGTCAAGAACTTTAGGGTTCATTTTTAGGATAGCTAAAAACTTCACTGATATCTACTGTCTAAAATCTCTCTATTGTTCGCTTGTTCGATCGACGCTTGAGTATTGTTCAGCGGTTTGGAACCCAAACTACAACAACGGTGCCGAGAGAATTGAATCTGTTCAACGTCGCTTTCTTCGTTTTGCGTTGCGTAGATTGCCTTGGAATGATCCGTTTCGATTACCAAGTTACGAAAGCCGTTGTCAACTTATCGACCTAGAACTTCTCCGGACTAGAAGAGACACAAGCAGAGCCCTAACCGTGGCCGATATCCTACAAGGAAGGACAGATTGTGAGGCTATCCTGAGGCAAATTGACCTGAATTTTCAATCCCGACCGCTTCGTAATAATCTTATGCTAAGACTGCCTCTACGTCGCACAAATTATGGAGCATACGGTGCGATTTGCGGACTGCAGAGAACATTCAACAGAGTTGCATCTGTTTTCGACTTTCATCTCTCCCGTGATACGCTTCGTCGAAAGTTTTCTTCTGTTTTTCGCCGGCAGGAGTAAACTGAGATATATGTTTTTTAATGTTTTTTTATGTTATGACCATGCTTGTATGTATTTTTTTACCATAGTTGATAAGGTTAAAATTATTGGGGCTTAAAACAACAATAAACTTGCGACTGTTATGTCTGTTTGTCTGTGCTAATACTACCGGGTTTCAAAGATTTTGCAAATTTGTGGCATTTGAAAAATGTCGAGAGCTTGGCAAATTTCCTAGACCATTTTTTGGCAACTTGGGCTTGAAACACTTTTAAGATCATGAAGTAGAATAGCCGTTTATTAGGTCGATTTTTTTTTCGAAATATCAGAAAATTTTCCATAGGTCTATGAAAATTAAAATGTTGAAATGGGGGCGACCCCGGCGTAGTGATTAGCATCCAAAGCATCGCCAAAGTCACGTGTTCAAGTCTCACGTCGTTCGTCATTCGTGACCCCCGGACAAGTCACGAATGACCCAGGAGCGTTAAAGTGGCTATAATAAAAAAAACAATTAAAATAAATAAAATGTTGATTTTTTTAAGATAACGGACTTGTCTGTATCATGGATGTGAAAAAAAAAATAATCAAAATATTAGTGATTCCGTCAACATTAATTGGACAGTTAATGTTTCCGTATGTTCGCAACTCATCTTGTCAGACTTTACACACTGATTTTCAATTAATCTTTTTAATACAAATTTGTTTCCAAATCAAGCGGTGGAATATGTATGTTATGTAGGACACTAGCGCCATCTGGTGAAATAACTTTGAGTGGAACGTTGCCAAGTCAATCTTGTCGAAGATTTCTACAATAAACTGGAGTAATTTCGGCATAAAACATAAATTTCAAAGCATAATAAATTTCAAAGAAAGTTTATTCCATGAATGCTTAGTTCATGCATATTGCATTGGTTGATATTTTTCCATTTAAAACAATGAATATTTAATCGGTTACATTGGTATGTCAGAAACGACTTGTAATTATAGATAGAAAAGAAACGCTGCGATTCATCACTTCTTTAAACAAGAAAAAAAACACATTCATTCCATAAAATTACCTTAACCACTAGAATTATCTCGACATATTACACATTATTATGTGATAGTACAACCAGTACACATTATGATAGAGAACAGTTAGGATAAGGAATATGCCTCCGCATATAGCTACACACTGGATCGCACTTTATCTAAAATGCTATTTTGCATTGCTTTCATTAGGTTTCCTTAACCGAATTGAAATCAGAATCTCATAGCTTCATCGACCTTCAGCAAACCAAAAGGAACTAAACAGACATCGAATTAGCAATTCACTCCTCTTGCGGAACCTCCTCGGTTTCGTCTTCTTCTTCTTCTTCTTCTTCGTATTCCTCTCCTTCACCATCGACAAGATCGTCTCCGGCTTCGTCCATTATATCGTCTTCATCACATTCGTCGTCGTCGTCATCATCTTCATCACCACCAGCACCGTCAGCAGCAGCAGCATCGTTGGAGCTATTGCCCTCCCTCGTTTTACTGGAGCGGGGTACAGGAGTGCCATATGTGGAGACGTAAGTTTCATACTCTTCTTTCGATTTGGCTTCCAATTCGTCAACATCCGTCAGTTCTACGCGAATCTGTTTGGATTGCTCGAGACATCGGACCTTGACTTCCAAATACTCATCGGCCCGCCGATCTTCCCAGCATGAATACTGAAATAGAAATATCTCTAATTAAATCGTTACTGTTGAAAAAGGGGGGAAGCCCATTTCGCATGAGGTCATTTGGCATAAGATATTTTTTCAGAAATACACATTTGGCATAGCCCCAGCATAACAGTGCCATAGTGAAAGGCATAATTGGATTTTTTTTGTAAACAGAGATGTAAAAAAGTGAATGTAATGGTGTATAATAATTGATATTTCCTAGTCCCTCCCCATGGACATGGAGGTTGACGGTACTGAAGCAAAGGGTTATGTTCAATTTCTTTATATTTGCAACGATGATGATTTCCTATAGTGACACATATCACCTTCTTAATGCTTCAGTATGCCTCAAACGATAAATTCTTGGTTGTTAATAGAACTTCCTTGATGGAATCGGCTGCTTCATGCAGACTGAGCAATTCTGATTATAGTATCAGATTTGTTCTGTATACAGAGGAACTGGGAGGGCTTATTAGAAACTTCTCACCAATAAAGTAATGATCTTCTAGTAAATTTTGCATATAATTTTATTAATATTTTATTTTATTTAAGCATATTATTTTTGTTACAGTCAATTAGCATTAGCATACGATACAAGAGATTTAATATTACTTGCTCGTTTTTGCGTAAAATAATCAATATTTACTTGTCTTGCAATTACCATTGAAATTTTTTTTTTGTGATCTGAAAATTTTCCCAGTTTGGCTAGAAGTTTCGAAGCTAACGCATGTCCACAGGCCTAATAGAAAGATAGGCCGAAAAAGTGTATCATGAAGAATGGTTGCTTGCTATATATGAGTGATTTTCGGAGTTTTGAATTCGTTAGATGCTGTAATGGAGATTTGTGTTGTTGGATGCGGGAGGAGATTGGCGTGCGGGTGTTTGACGCATCGAGCCTGTCAATTTCGCTTTCAGAGTGTCGCAGTCAGCGGTTTTATGATTCGTGAGCGCTCGCGATTCGTAGAATTATTGATTGTGACTGCAAATGGATTTGGCGGGTTTTGTGTGTCGGACGCTTGCTTTTTGGCCTCTTCTTGTGTCTAACATATGCAGAGTATCGTCTAATGGTTTTGAGATTCCTGGTTGCGTGAAATATATTTGTGAGAATATCTTTTTGAGATTTTAGTAGTCACGTTTTGTTTGTAGTTTATATTTTATTTCTTTCATGTAACTATCGTAAATAATAGCTAATCAATAATAGATAGTTCATCCATATATTCGTACTTTGACGCGAAGCGCCGTGGATTATGAGATCCTCGATGACCCTGGAGGGATCGATTTTGCTTACTGAGCAGAAAATCATGGATTTAACCCCAAGCTCTTCCACAGCACAATAAATCGCCACCATCATTTGTATATTTGATATTGAACATTAACCTCGGAAACTATTTGCATATCAAGCGAAAACGTAGTCCTGTATTGTCGCGAAGCGTTATGGTTCTGAGATATTCGATGACCCTGGAGGGATCGTTTTTGCTTACTGAGCAGAATGGGTTTAATCCCAAGCTCTCCGTCATGACTCATAAAATTCATGACAAAACAAAATTAATATGTTCTTTCGATAGCCGGCTATCGAGAGATTAAATAAACAACAAATAAACAATACATACTTTTGGTTGCATCGCCAACTTGAGGTGAATCCTAACCGAATACCCTATCCAACCCTCCAACTCCGTAGCGCTTATGAGGGTGTCGCTAAGTCGGTGGCCTCTCGTTATGTAAGTATTACATCAACATTTCCTTCCTTATCCCTAGTTATGGTAAAGATGGGCGTGGTCGGGAATAGTGACAGTCATGCTTCTGTTACTCTTGTTTAGATTGGAACCAATGTTTATTCCCCAGCATTATTCCTGAAAGTAGTCTTACTGAGAATTTCAGAAGAAACGTGAGTGTCGCTAGTATCCAATCTACGAAGTAGGGGAAATGTCTCTAATGTTGGCCTATGGATCTAAGATTGGGCCCATCGTTAAAAATCTGCTATTTATCAATTTTATCTAGATGAACGCGTTATTGGGACGTTACTAATGGATATTTTTGGTTGCTATTGAAAATTTAGTCGATTGCTGAATTTATGTATGGGCCCAAATTAGGTAAACTTAGGCCGACATTACCTGTATTTCCCCTATATCATAACAACGCTAACGCTAACGCTAATAATAATTGATATTTCCTAGCGAGTATACACTGACCCTACAATTATGGATCACTTCCATTTGATTATCACACTAGACTGACTGATCCATAATTGTGGGGTCAGTGTATATGATTATCTCGGTGCGAGTTGGATGTTGCCGCTTTGTTCCCGGCAATACCAAATTCCCGCATTTCCCGGATGGATGGACACTAGGGTTATTCAAAATATCGATGTTGCTCCACCAAGTTCAATTGATTCTAATTCAAGTCCTGATCATTTACCAATAATTTGAGTGGCCCTTTAAAGTTTAAATGGGAATAACTATGGGAAAAGTGAACTTGTTCTTCTCGTCCTAAAGAAACTTAAAGAAAATTTCCTTAGCTGCAACTTTGCTGAAGACTGTTTTTGATTGAATGTCAGGATTAGTTTTCATTTTCATTTTGCAGCGTTTGGTGGGGCAATGGGAGCGCAAGTCAATCCAAAGCCGAGGATAAAGGAAGGATAATGACTGAATAGTCTATGCGGACCACTGAACGCCATGGGAAAAGGAAGGCATCTGAAGAGGTCGGTTATTGGGGGGTTTTTGAGGAAATGATACATAGTACTATATTTGTGCTGCAAAATGTAAAGAAACCTAAAATCCATCTCCCACTGATTCATTCTTCCACACATATAGTATACCAAATTGATATTTTAAAGCAACCATCAACATAAACAAACAATATATGAAAAGGCTAGTTGCCTTCCTAAGCGGACCCCCTGCATCTTAACTCTTTTGTTAATATACTTATTAGACTTTCTGAATTTTCTTATTTAAATTAGTTTGATGATTATGATATCTCATTGCCTAATTTAATATATAATTGAAATCTCTTATCTACCTAATCAATTATAACCCATGTTTTATTAAGTACTTGCACTTGTGCATGTAATCTAAAATTTAACGTGTTTCAAGTTGTTTTTGACCCTAAGGGGTAAGTCACTCAGTACATTGTGCTGAAATTATATTCTACACAGCTTGGGCACATCCATCGGCACATTTTCGGCATACCTTCGGCACAATCTCGTAGGCATTAGATTGTTGTTATTAAAATGGGAGTACTGCTGAACAACTGTCATTCAAGTTGTTCAGAGCATTACGTGCTGATTGACTGTATGTTCAGAAACATCTTCTAATTGAATTTATCAGAGGAACTCAGACCAGCAGTTCTCTTATAGATCTAAATACGAAATGTAGGTTCTAGAGTGGGCTCAAGAGAAAGAGACAGTTAATCAGACGTCATTAGTACTCTTAATTCTAACTAAACAAACTATACAAGTTTATTCATCACCCTCTATAGTCGGTCTCCAACAATGCTCCCCACCGGTTCCAACTCTTTCCGGCCGAAAGGCTAGGATTCTGGTCTGCATTTGAGGGCATTATAAAACACTAAAACACAGGACTTTTATTACCCTATGGACCACAAATCACTGAAATTTCACACACCCGCCACTTCCCGCGTCATCCTCAATCTGATTTATCCTTGCGATTTCAAACCAATAAATACAAATAGCAACCTAAAATGAAAATCACTAAAGCAAAAGACTAGGCTGAAGAACTAAAAGTTTACTTCAGGCGTAACATTTGTTTTTCCTTGATTTGTTTTTCGTCGATCTTGTTTTCTGTGCTGAGTACCAATGCTACCGACGCCAGGGTGGCAGCTCCCACACCTGGACCCTACCTATCGACCCATCAACTCATGAACCGGGGACCAACAGCTTGGCTTTACTTCCCTTCCGAAGGAAGGTGTGATCAGAGATGTTATGCTTCAGAACATCCCGGCAGCGCCGACTGGGATTGAACCCAGGTCTGCTGGGGTGAGAGAAAATCATGCTTAACACTACACCACCGTAACATTTGAAAACGGTACAAACAAAAGTTGTAAGGCCCTTTACATGCCATCAGAAATACGACCGCGCATACCAACAACATCATCAGGCTTACCAATTGTGGTATTGGTTGTGGGCGTAGTTCGGGTTCACGTTATTTACAAAAGCTTTTGTGTCGTTTTCAAATGTTACGCCTGACTTTTTCCACACTGTAACTGGAAAGTACCCTTTAATTGGTACAATTTCACCCATTTTTAAGTAAAGTTGGTTAACCCATTCAATAGGTCGTATGAATAAAAGCGTTTACTTTACTTTCCCCGTAAGAAAGTAAAGTAAACTCTTTTTATTCATACGGCCCAATGGGTAAAAAGTAACTGGTACCCAAAAATGATTAATTGTTACCCATTAATGCGTAAACGTTATTGATTTATGGTTTAACCTACTTGACTTCAAAATTGTTGTAATTTTACTCATTAATGGATACTATAAAGTAAGAGTACATCAAGAGAAAATTTTCATTACGTCGAATGTAACAAAGGTAAACAAAGTCCAGCTATCAGTGTCAATCGATTTTCCTGCTATTACACTATATACTGTCCGAATATAGGATCAAACCCCATTTTTAAATTTATTTACCAGTCAAATTACTTTTCGACGTAATCACCTTCAGATCAAAATAGTTTTCGATGTTACTTAAGTCATCCAATTTCTATGGAGATGCCGTTTGACTTAAGTAACAGCGCTGAGAAACCCGTGAAAAGTGTACGTTCGTCGTTTCGCTTTCTCATTATTAAAGTGAATAAATCGAACTGTTTGTTGCTAAGATGATTTCGGTGGTCCTAAAATGATGAATGGGCTGCACGTAAGGGGACGTAATTGATAATTCTCCCGAATATCCTGGTAAATACACTTTGACTTAAGTAACAATAGGGGCCACCAAACGACGTATAATAACTTTTGACTCAAAAACCAGTATTTTTAGCATGAAAGCTAGCGATTTGCAGTTGTATGATTAAAACCCTGCTAAATATGTTAAACATTGCTATCACTATGAGATTATATGTGTTTACTTGGAAATAGGAATAACTTTTCGGTCATCAAAACAAAACCTTATTTTTCTCGGATTGGTGCGAATGTTACTTACGACATAATGAAAATTTGCTCTTGACATATAAACTTCAAAGGGTTACACCGAAAATAGTTTTCATGTAGCTTCCATTGGAAACGCAAATGATTTTCATTCATAATCAAAATTAATTATATGATGTGAGTAGTAGCTATACTGAAGATCCGAGAGATGTCGCCCCTTCAGTGGTAGGAAAATCTTTTTTGCAGTATGGAGAATATAAGAAAATCCACGATTTGTGACTAAACATGCTTTCACAGAAGGAAACAAATAAACGAGTGTTTACCTTATCACCATAGTAATGTACTCGTGCAATCTAAAACTGCCCATAAAGACGATAATGAATAAAAACTGAAAATTTTCATGCATTTCCAAATGGTTTCCTACCATTCCCATACATTCGAAAGTGACTGGCCCTCTGTATGTGGATGATATCAAAAACAACAAAACATAATTAATTAATGAAATTCATCTGAATTTCACATAACATTTATGCGATCACGTTAATTTTATATGATTTTTCATATGAATTTCATCTGCCTCATAACATTCATGTGATTTTGTGGTGGGATTTACAGCTATGTGCTAATTCACATGGTTTTCATCCATTAGATATGTGATAATTTTTTTGAGTGTAGTGCAGTATGAGGTCTTAACCAAATGAGCTCAAATTTTGGGAGTTATCAGGCTTAATGGAGCAAAATCGATACCACCCTAATGGAAACCCTGCAATGGGAGCATAAACCTTTAAATTATTTCCAGAAATTCATATCAAATTCATTCACCAAAGTACATACGAGCCTTGAAAATTTTTCAAGGTTGTGAAAATCGACTAAATTTTCAATAGCGACCAAAAATATCCATTAGTACCGCCCAAATGACGTGTTCATCTAGATGAAATTGATAGATTTTAGCGATGGGCCCAATCTTAGATCCATAGGCCAACATTAGAACCATTTCCCCTGCCTATTTTTTGTTAAAAATGTTGGAAAATGTTAAAATCCCAACATCTACAAATGCAATCTTCGTTCCAGATTCATGCAAATTTCTCTGATTATTTTCAAGTCCAGGTTTTCTATTAATTGTAAAAAATTTAAATCTGTTGTTAATGTTCCAGAATTTTGCCGGTGCCGATGGTGTAGTGGTAAGCGGGTGGGCAATGGGTCTGGGTTCAATCCAAGCCGAGGTCGGTGGGATTTTTATGAGGCATACAAATTTCTGGTCACGTCTTCCTTCGGAAGGGAAGTAAAGCCGTTGGTCCCGTCCCATGTGTGTTGTTGAATGGGTGCGATATCCTACGCAGGTGTGGAAGCTGCCTTCCTGCACATTCGATTGCCGTCAATGGATGACAATCGATGTCCGTCAGTGATTGGCACCATGGTGGTTATATACATGGTGATACAGCTTTGTCACTATATAGGCGAGGGCATGGTGGGTATATACATGGTCGCGGGGGTATAAGTGCGGTTTTAGAGCAAATTGTAAACAAACTCGGTCGCTGTCCCATACCAACAAAAAACACAACAACTGTCCCAAAATCCAACATGGCTGAATCATGAATTCGACACATTAGAACACCTGTATGTACCTATACCTTGATTGGCACTAGATTGCGGAACAGAAACCGACGTTAAATAAAGGAAAGAAAAAAGAAGTTCCAGAATTTTTTAAACTTATTTTGTTACTGAAGATAAATCCGCCCCAGAATTATTAAGTTCAATGAGTAAAAGAAAATAACGAGAAAGATAAAGTTGATTGAATGAAATGATTTGAAATTCCTCAGAATATTGTTTGAGATCATACTCTTTCAGAGAATGAATTTGGAAATTCCCGGTTTTCCAAGGGAGTAAATGCCCTGTTAAGATCACGAGAACAGCGCGAGAAACCTTGAGAAAATATAAATGGTTTAAAAATAATACTATCCCAACATGACAAAGTATTATAAACAAAAATTAAATGGACCTCTCCAATGAATTTTTAATGCGTAAAAACTAACTTTCATTTGAAAAGAGTGAAAGGCTTAAAATAAAGTGAGCAATAGCTCTGAAAGCCAAATTCCACAATTTGCTAATTTTTCAATGTGAACCGGTCAACCTGTGGTAATTTGAATGGACTTTAGTAAGAATAGAGGCGTTTGATTACAAATGGGCAAAATTAAGGCTAATTTTATTCGTTGTTCCTTACGAAATAGCTGTTTTAAAACAGGTTATCAACAAAGTCAAGCCCAAAACCATCCTGATAAATCCTGATGTACCACAGCAGCCAAGATACAGAAGCTTTGATGCACATCCTAGACAATTACAGCTTAATGAACTTTTCGTTGGAAGCGAAAAAATCACCTTTGCCTGGGACCTGAAACTGTCTTCTTTCAGCTAGATTTGAACAGGAACACGACCTCTACTTACCACCATTGACGAGTTGAATTGCGGGACATTGGAGAGAACGGTTTTATCTCGTAGGTACTTTTGCAACAAACTTGAACCATCCCGCCGCCACAGACAGACTTGTGCGTTGTTTACGATACCATCCTTCAAGTCTCCTTTGAAGATGAATAGATTCAGATAACCACATTTATCCGGAAAACTTTTGAGAGGAGTGACAATCTTGCGTTGAAGTGGTTGAGGTTTGGCTGCAGTCACTGCCGTACTGAGCATTGATGTTGTCGGTTCCGGTTTAAATGCTGTTGCAGGTTGAGAAGAGGGGGAACCGGTTGGCCTATCATTTGCCGAAACGTTCGAGTCTGCTGGCTTTTTAGGCTGTAAGAATAAAACCAAATTTAATACGAACTGTGCACACGACATCACAATCTTGTAGGGCACCGTTTTTCTAGGTTTTCTAGCTGGAGTGGATTCTGGTTCCGATGTGTCATCGTCACTGATATTGTCCTCATCACTGGACTTCTTTTTGGATTTTTTGCTTGGTTTGCGGCCACGTTTTTTCGCTCCGTTTTTGTTTGTTACGGCCGATTTTCTGCCGCGACCGGAAGACTTTACTTTCTTAGGTTTCTGAAACAGGATTGGAAGATTTTACACCTTCGATTTCCATATTTTCACCGAAGAATGAAAAGGTCACTCCTACCTGTTCTCCCTTAGCCGGTTGCCAATCTTCCTCTGAGTCTTCAAAGTCCGATTCATCTTCGAACTCGGAACCTTCCAGTTGAGTTGTGACTAGTTCTGTTCTGCTACGCATAGTTATGATAAATAGTGAATTTGATTTACCTAAAACATAAAATTAATTTAATAATTTAATCGTAAAGAAATGTTGAGCTATACAAAATTATTGTTTACATTATCTAAACAACATAAATCATCGGATCAGTTATTTGAGAATTGAACCAGATTTGGATTGAAAAACTTACCACAAAATATTATTCAATAATGCTCCCAATGGTGTGTTGTCAAATGTTGAGCTTTGATGTGGAAATTTTACTGAGTAATACAAAATTATGCTATATTTTTGCGATTTTTGCAAACTAAACATTCACCGACATTTCGAACCGAGTTTGCAACATCAACGCGCATGCAAATGATGCAACCTATGTCAGGTCTGGCAGATTGAAATTAAATTTTTGTCTCTGTTTTTCTTTGCTGTTCTCATCATCATCAATCCGTAAACACACGGTAACCAGCGTAAACACATAAATGAGTAAAAACTACACATTTTTTTATATTTATATACAGCTGTCAAAAAATGTGTAAATTTGGAGATCCTAAAGTTAAGGAGCTAAATTTGGTAGCGCGCTTCTCACCGAGAAGCCGCCTCTATTTTAGTTACTCGTATGGCAACCCCCGATACGGTAGCTGCGCTATGATGAGGGCTGCAAAAATGAGTTTAGCAGCGTACCGTTACGGTTGCTCTTAATGGGTAAAAAACTTTAAACTTTGCTGTTCCTACGGGAAAATGGAGGAACTATGGTCCAAACTGGACAGTGTGCAACCAACAATCAATACGAAACTAACGATTTTAAATTGGCTCACCACTTTAGTAGCCTATTGGTCCCAAGCAAACGATTAACGTACCCTATTCTAGTTGAAATTCTATTACTACACTATGTTTGTTTTGATTCGCTATGAAAGTTTGACAGATAACATCAGGGGTGTGTGGATTCATGCAGAACATGCAGGGGTGAGTGAAATAGCTTGGGACTGCTTGGGACCGTTGTTCTGGTACTGAGTGAGCCAAAAATAATAATGATTTTCTTCGGGACCCAGTGGTCTTATACCTTGTACAGACATACAAAGTTCACTGTTGTACTACCGTTGTACTGCTTTAAGCTAGTACCACAAATTGTACGTTTTGAGGTACTGGATTAAAGAAGTACAACGGTACTAATTTGTATGTCTGTCTGTGGTATTAGAGTTACCTCTATGGTGCAACCATTGGCATTGACGAGAGCTCTGTAACTCTTTACTCATATGAAGAAATCTCATATGTAACTTTTTTTTTTTTTTGTATATTAATTTATTTGATAAGGCTCAACCGAATTAACTTAACAGAGCCGAGGATTCATGGTCACTATACAATACATCTTAATACCCCGTTCACATTACAGCCTATATCACGTAATATAGGCTGTCTTGAAATGAGCACTCATACATAGGATTTCCAGTGAAAACTAGATGTATGAGTGCTCATTGCAAGAAAGCGTATATCACGTGATATACGCTGCAATGTGAACGGGGTATAAAGCTATAGTCAAAAGGTACAACACAATAAACACTTTATCTTCCGCTATCCAAAAAGCCTCCTCCATCAGAACTGGAGCCGCTTCCAGTAGTTTCATTGTATGGCAAATTGTTGTACGCCATCGAGGGTCAGAGCACGTCCATTGCAGCAATGGACGCAAAACGTGGTCAGCACTCACACACTCATCACGAAACGGTTGCTTTCCAAAGTCGACGACGCATCGACCGAAAGAACTGCTGATGAAGAACAATGAGGAGGACCACACAATGGTTGCTGCCGAGTAAACAGACGATCGCGTAGCACACATCGAGAGTGGCCTGCTTTTGTCGACAGCCGAGTGAACACTGTCATATGTAACTGTCAGTCTATGTGTGAAACATGGCGGACTTTTTCTTATTCTCTCACTCCAACGCAAAGCCCCATAAGTAACTGTCAAAATGTGTGTGAAGAAACGTCACTTCGGGACTGGTGTCAAGGTGAATAGAGGTAAGAGGTGCAACGATTGGCGTTGACGGCGGCTCAGTAGCTCTTTACTCCTATGGAAAATCACGTAGGTAAACGTCAGACTGTGCGTGAAACATGGCGACTTTAGTACTATTCCCGTAAGATACTGTCAATGTTTGCTAAAAGAGACAATTTTTCAACGGTGCCGTCACCGCTAATGGACATTCTAGAGGGTACACACACAAAATTATCGTTAATTAAATCGAAAAAAAAACCATTGCTAGAATTAAAAGTTTGCGTTGGTTGTTTTTGGTAGACAGTCTTTAGCATTCATAACAAAAGTCAGCCAACTGTCAATTCAAAAGTAACTAGTTTTTTACTTTTAAAGCCTAGTATACAGATCGAAGCGAAACGAAATTAGAAGCACGCGAAAAATCATGAAATTTCGCTAGCGAAAAAGGTCGTGAAAAAATGTTTGTGGAACATTTTTCAGTTTCCTTTTTTCGCAGTTTACAGTTCATGTGAAACGAAATCGATCAGTTTACACCTCCGGTGAAGTGAAAATCTGACAGATACGCTCTTCCGAAACGTCAACTTTTCGCTTAGCTGCTGCTCTTTTCGCGAGCGCTGCATGCGCGAAAAAAAAAATAAACGTAAAGGCCTGTATAGAGATCGAAGCGAAGCGAAAACCTCATACAAAATACTAAATTTTTCACCAGCGTGAAAAACGCAATTGGCAAATTTTTCACTTCGCTTTGAACTGTAAAGGCCTGTATAGAGATCGAAGCGAAGCGAAAACCTCATACGTTTCGCTTCGATCTGTATACTAGGCTTAAACAGATACGATCCAGCGAAATCTAATGTTGTGGATCGCATCTTTTTCGCTTACGTTTATTTTTTTTTCGCGCATGCAGCGCTCGCGAAAAGAGCAGCAGCTAAGCGAAAAGTTGACGTTTCGGAAGAGCGTATCTGTCAGATTTTCACTTCACCGGAGGTGTAAACTCTCGTGTAAACTGATCGATTTCGTTTGACATGAACTGTAAACTGCGAAAAAAGGAAACTGAAAAATGTTCCACAAACATTTTTTCACAACCTTTTTCGCTAGCGAAATTTCATGATTTTTCGTGTGCTTCTAATTTCGGTTCGCTTCGATCTGTATACTAGGCTTAAAAAAAAGGGGACAGAAACTTTTTGCATTCCCAATGGTCGGTGACGGAATGAGACGATAAAATTTCCAAGTGTTTTTTTACCCATTAGTGGGTAGAAAATATACCCATTATGCAATCGTGAACTCAAGAGCAAATTTTCATTACGTTGAATGTAACAAAGGTAAACAAAGTCGAGCTATCAGTGTCAATCGATGCTCCTGCTATTACACTATATACTGTCCGAATATAGGATCACATCCCATTTTTAAATTTATTTACCAGTCGAATTGCTTTTTGACGTAATCACCTTCCGATCAAAATAGTTTTCGATGTTACTTAAGGGGGTATTCCCAATCTTTTGCCTTTTTTCGGCCTGTTTTTCAATTAATTTTTTTTCAAGGAAAATGAATAGTAATGCGCCTAACTCTTTGGGATTCTTGTTTATTGAACATTAAAGTTTACAAATAATTTTTTTTCGACATAAAAAAAGACATTATTGACGTCACAAAATGGCGACAAACAGACCCCTGTTCGCCGCAAACGCCTGGACGGGCGAAGACTTTTCTCTGGAACGGCTTCATCTGAAACAGATTTCGTGATGAAATAATAATCTGTATAAGATTCTCTGGAGCTTCTCCCGTTGGCAGCAAAAAATCTTGCAAATTAACAAAATGGCGGCCATATGAAAAAACAGGCGATTTTTAGTCCGCTTTTTTGCAACTTTAAGGTGCTTCAAACAATGTTAAATGTTAATATTTTTGGCTGAAAGTGGGAGAAGCTCCAAAGAATTTAATAAGGAACAAAATGCGCAAAGATTCAAGTCAATATCTCTTATAGTTTCTGAGAAAAATCTTCGCCCGATAAAAAAAATGTGGTTTCGAGAAAAACGCGTTTAAAGTTTTGACTTTAGTTAAAACCATTTGGGGGTTCTTACCATTAGTCAGCTATGCCTGGACACCGAATTCGCTGATCGGAAAACGGCTTGGGGGGATGAAAGTATATAGTCTAAAGTACAAAAAAACGTGAAAAAAAAATTTGATTTTTTGAAAAAAAAGATCGGGAATACCCCCTTAAGTCACCCGATTTCTATGGAGATGCCGTTTGCCTTAAGTAACAACACTGAGAGACCCGTGAAAAGTGTACTTTCGTCGTTTCGCTTTCTCATTATTAAAGTGAATAAATCGAACTGTTTGTTGCTAAGATGATTTCGGCGGTCCTAAAATGATGAATGGGCTGCACTTAAGGAGACGTAATTTATAATTCTCCCGAATATCCTGGTAAATACACTTTGACTTAAGTAACAATAGGGGCCACCCATCGACGTATAATAACTTTTGACTCAAAAACCAGTATTTCTTAGCATGAAAGCTAGCGATTTGCCTTTGTATGATTAAAACCCGGCTAAATATGTTAAACATTGCTATCACTATGAGATTATATGTGTTTAATTGGAAATAGGAATAACTTTTCGGTCATCAAAACAAAACTTTATTTTTCTCGGATCGGTGCGAATGTTACTTACGACATAATGAAAATTTGCTTACTGATTCTTTAAATGGGTATTTTTTCATCCATTTTATGATTTACAAATTCCCCCATTTTTTGACAGCTTCATACATGGTTTGAAAATGGGTATTTTTTACCCATAAATGGGTTTTCACGAAACATCGTGTAAGACACTTTGCGACTGAAGCGAGGACTGGAAGATGTTATCTAAGTTGCTTTTCACCCATTAATGAGTAAAAAAGTACTCATTATTCTCGCCCGAAGTGCTCTGAGAAATGGGTAAAAGAGTACCCATTATTTGAAATTGAACTTCACCCATTATTCGACAGCCTCATGAGGTTAGGCATCTTGATGTCATTTGTGATAACTGTCAAACTTTCCGTTTCCGTTCCGCTTCCGTCCACATTACGTTTGGGCCTTAAAGCCCTCTAGCTAAAGTGTGGACGACTGTCACCACAAAACTGGAAAAGCTGTTCCAATCGAGCAAAGCGGTGCATTTTGACGGTTCGATTGGAACAACTTTTGACAGACGTCAATACTTTTACTGTATACAGTAGAGGGCTTTAAGGCCCAAACGCAATGTGGACGGAAGCGGAACGGAAACGGAAAGTTTGACAGTTATCACAAATGACATAAAGATGCCTAACCTAGAGTCGGTGTATAATGAGTCACGCCAAGAGTGAAGCCAAGTCTATACCTATTGAACTGTCAAACCGGCTACCTATCGTGCAAAGTAAA